CCGCGGCGCCGACAAGAAGTGCTGTGAGTAGCCGCGGCGCCGGACGGGGCGGCCTGCGCGCGCGCTGTGAAACATCCCCTGTCGCTAGCTTTAGGGCGTGTGCGTGTGGGTGTTTGCTATAGGCTTACGTTTTATGTAGACGTTTGTGCGTGTGTGTATGTATGTTTATTTTGAAGTGGGATAATGCTGCTCGTGCACCCGCCGCGGAAAGGAAGCGTGATTTACCTCATAATTAACCCAAAACCGCGGCTCCTGTCCCTTCCTGCCGGGCTGGTGTCACGGCTGCCTCCGTGGAGGACGCTGCCGGTGATGCTGCCCACACACTGTCCTTATCTTAATGCTCCTTGGCATGTTTTGTGTGTGAAAGCGCCCATTTTTCCCTCATTCTGACCCTGGAAAGGCGCTCCGTGCTGCCCGAGCCCTCATGTTTGCCCGTCTTCTCGCCCTTGCACCTGACCTCCCTCACGGAGCATCCCCCGCTCGAGAACCTCTCCCCAAACGGCCGTTTGCTCCGCACGTCCGCCGGGGACGTGGCCACCCCATTAAGGCCATTAGTCTCCGTGTCCCTGACGGCTCCTGTAAATATTTTCCACGCTAAAAGGTGGATAATGGCCCCGGCGGCGGTGCCGCTCCCTCAGCCGGCGCCTGGCGACCGCCCGCGCGGCCGTTAACGGCATCGGGCTGCACTAACGAGCCTTCCTCCCCTCAGCGTGGGCCTCCTACATGACCAACTCGCCCACGCTCATCGTGATGATCGGGCTGCCCGCCCGCGGCAAGACCTACGTGTCCAAGAAGCTCACGCGCTACCTCAACTGGATCGGCGTCCCCACCAAAGGTGCGTGTCGTGGGGCGGGAAGAGCGGTGTTCTCCTCTGGAATACCCCAGGTCTCATCTCTCCTTTCCTCCTGTGTGTGTCTGTGGCCAGTGTTTAACCTTGGAGTGTATCGCCGCGAGGCAGTCAAGTCTTACAAGTCCTACGATTTCTTCAGGCACGATAACAAAGAAGCCATGGAAATCCGCAAGTGAGTCTGCCTTGGAGGGCCCGGTCTCTTGTCCACAGCCTGGTTATTCCAAGGGTTTTTTTTTAAATTTACATATCTAACCATCACTACACAGATGATGGTTAATGTCCACAAAGTGGTAGGAGTAGATGGTGCAGCCCATGCACCTGCTATAAGTGCTCTGTGCACAGGGAGGCCTTCACATCAGGAGGAACCAAACAGCACAAAGAGCACAAATGCCCAAAGATGGATAAATTATGAAGCAAGTGAGATGCAGGTTGCTTATGGTCTTATTAATGGGCCAGGTAGGAGGCCTGGGCATGGGAATTTGAACAGGACTTAACCCCACACAGCCTCCATGGCTGTTGGAAAAATGTGGGAATGTCCCACAGGGACAGAGGGAGGGAAGATACTGATATCTTTCTCCATATTAGTGGCAGGGCAGTAATTCAGATGAGAAATCTGAGTGCTCATGATACTTGTTTCCCTCTCACAGACGCTGTGCCTTGGTGGCTCTGGAAGATGTGAAAGCGTATCTCCTGGAGGAGTGTGGGCAGATAGCTGTAAGGCACTTCTGGACTAGACCTGTGGCTTCCTCAAAACTGCACAGGGGGGTTGGGACTGATTTAAAAGCCTTAGACAGAATTACTCACTGCTGCTTATTTACGTTCTGGTAGGTGTTTGATGCAACCAACACAACTCGAGAAAGACGGGATCTGATCTTAAATTTTGCTAAAGAAAATGCTTTTAAGGTAACTGTCCTGTATTTAATTTGGAATCAGAATGGGTGCGCTGGGTTCCCCCAAAGTATTTCTCTTAGGCGATTTGGTTTGGTGCATGTAGTAAGAGACCTGGGTTGTTATTCCTTTTTCCTTAGTTTCTATGCTTTCAGAATTGACCTTAATTTCAAGCAAGAGCCCTTAATTTGCTAGGGTTCTGAGGAACATTGGATTTCCTTTCCAAGGAGATTGTCATGAGCTGCATTGAAAAAAGGGGAAAAAATTGGGTTTGGGACAAAGCAGAGTTCATTCCCAGGGTAATTTTGTTTGTTGCTGTTTCCTCATTATTTGAGAGCTGTATTGACTTTACTGCTGTCAAGTAATAATTCTTGTTTTTTTTTTTTGATTCAAGATAGAGTTCTTGATTCTGAAATACCTTTATTTGCCTTTTCTATAGGTGTTTTTTGTGGAGTCCGTTTGTGATGATCCAGAAGTCATTGCTGCCAATATCCTGGTAGGTGCAGTTCTCGGGTTCAGCTGACAGTATCCTACTGTAAGGAATTTGATGCTTTATTTTTCTGTGGAGGTTCACTATGTAGGATTGTCTGCAAATTGCTGGTAGTAGAGATACACCTAACTCCAGGAGGGCTTGAATCCCAGTCTGAGCTTTACTGCATGTGTGTCTGATGTTTATTGAGCTCTTCTCTGACTTTTATTGGAAATCTCCTTCCCACTTCTGGTTACAACTAGGCATGGTTGTAATGTCCCAGTTTGTCAGCTTGGTGGCCCTCCCGTGAAGGGAAAGCATAGGCCAAAGCTCTGTGGTTGTCACCTGCCTCTTCTTGTCCCCTGTGAAGCCCGGGGAAGGAATACCCATTTCTAACAACATACGCAGTCTAGCATGCCTAGGAACCTTGTTCTTAGGTTTCACTTAGAATATAAACAGTTAACATTTGTAGGTTTACAAAAACCAGAGGTGCAATTATTTGTGTAAGAACTTGGAGATGAAATGAAGCCATAAAATGTTTGACCTTGAAGCGTGTTTCTGTCGTCATGGGAAGATAGGCAGTAAGTGGCTTGCAGGGGAGAAATAAAAGGCAAGTCAGCTGTGTTTGTACCCGAGGCCAAGTGCCACAGCGTGCCCTTTAGAATTGCCTTTTGTTCCCTTGCCAGGAGCAGGTTTTTTGCGGGGCAGTGTTAAACAATGCTATTTTTTGTTTCTGAATAGAATAGTGTTGTTCAGCATTGCTTTTGCTCGTGTCAAGTTTGTTTAACGTTTACAAAGTGTCACTGTCTGTTGCTCAGGAAGTGAAAGTCTCCAGTCCAGATTACCCAGAGAGAAACAGAGAGAATGTGATGGACGATTTCCTGAAGAGGATAGAGTGCTACAAAGTTACTTACCAGCCTCTTGATCCCGATGAGTACGACAGGTAAGAAGTGATGTCCTTCAGTGCGTTTTGCCCTGGCTCATGCATTTGTGTGCAGGAGGGCTGCTTTGCTTTGTCACTTTAGTTCTCTGGCTTACAATGCTGCGATGCTTGTGAAGCTGTGAAGCCTCAGCTTTCCAAGAGGGGTTTGTGGGAAGATGATACCCTCAGGTATCAAGGATTTTTTGCTGGTGTATTGCAGCATAGCAGAGCTCCTTGCTTAAACACAGCAGTTCAGTGTCCCCTCTGTCTGCTGAAGCTGCCAAGCAGTAGTGCTGCTGCCTTATTGCAGGATAAATAGCTAGATTACACCCGCATATGCTTCATTTTTCAATCCAGCCGTGTGGGTGTTCTTATTTTATGTTGACTCCAGAGATCTTTCCTTCATTAAAGTGATCAATGTGGGACAGCGGTTCCTAGTAAACAGAGTCCAAGATTACATCCAGAGTAAAATCGTCTATTACCTAATGAACATTCATGTCCAGCCACGTACCATCTACCTTTGCCGACATGGTGAGAGTGAATATAATCTTGTCGGCAAGATTGGTGGGGATTCTGGTCTGTCACCACGTGGGAAGCAGGTATGTTTTTGGCAAGAGCCAAATTGCTGTGTTTTTAAAGTGTCAGGTGGGCGCAGTGAGAGTCTGGCTTGGAGCTGGCTCTGTGCGAGTGTGTAGGTACAGTCCTGTGAGGTTGTTCTCCCCAGCAGAGATCAGCCAGCCTCTCAACCCAAGCCATTAAAATAATGCTTTTTTAATCACTCCTGCTATCTCCTGACCTCCTGTAACTTTTTCTAGTTTGCCCAGGCACTTAAGAAGTTCATTGAAGAGCAGGAAATTGTTGATCTGAAGGTTTGGACAAGCCAGCTGAAAAGGACAATTCAGACAGCTGAGTCTTTGGGGGTCACTTATGAGCAGTGGAAGATCCTGAATGAGATTGATGCTGTGAGTAAGGAGGGTTCTAAATATTCATTGAAGTCTTTGGGTTTTCTAGGTTTAAATATATTTTTAAAACAAATACACCATAGTAAGCCTAATGATTTCCTGATCATCAGTCAGGCTTTAAGACCTGGATGTAAGGTGACACACAAGTGTTGGTGTTCACATTCCGTGTGTCTGTGTCATTACTGACACTTCTGTCACACAAATAATAACCACTTGTTTTTTTCCTGTTGTTATTGTCTTGCATCTGTCAAACTCAACTTTGTAATAAGCTCCACTTTCTTCAGGGGGTATGTGAAGAAATGACCTATGCAGAAATTGAAGCCAAGTATCCAGAGGAGTTTGCCTTGAGGGATCAGGAGAAATATCTTTATCGCTACCCTGGAGGAGAGGTGAAGATACTTAGAAATAATAATAAAACACAATATATAGACAATAAATACAGGATGTGTAGAATGTAGCTTTTTTAATTGATTCTTTTTAAACTTAATTCCTCCCTTGAGAAATTGTTGAAAATATCAGGATCCACAGTTCTTGTTTAGAAGCGTTTTGCTTGTCTTTCAGCGCTGTGTAAAAGACAGCGCTCAATCATGATAACAAGGACTCCTTTAAAACTTCTGCCTAGTACAGAGGGGTTCCTGTGTGGGTCTCATCATTTGGCTGAGGGAGGACTTGTCACTGTGAAAAACAGTTTTGGGAAGGAAATTATTGTGGGTGGGGTACGGAGTCATTTCTGGTTTTACTGCACAAACCCTTTTAAATGTATAATTTAGTATTTTATTTGTTTTTCTTACTGCCTGCATTAAAAGTTGAGTAATCTGAATCTTCCTGTAATCTGAGGGTTTCCAACATGAAAATCTTGCCTAGTGCTGTTTGTTTTGCTTTTCCTGTATTTACTGAATCAGCCCTGAATTCTGCATTTTAATATTTTAACTGATGCTTTCCTGAATGTGATGTTGTGTTAAGTGCTGCTTCTGTTTTGAGACTCCGTGTTTATGAACCCTTGAAAAATTCCTGTGTTTTGTTTTCCAGTCCTACCAGGACTTGGTCCAGCGCCTGGAGCCAGTAATTATGGAGCTGGAACGTCAGGGCAACGTCCTCGTTATCTCCCACCAGGCGGTTATGAGGTGCCTCTTGGCTTATTTTCTTGACAAGAGTGCAGGTATGAAAATAAACACATGGTGTTAGGGGCTGGTTTATTTCTGGAACTTTTGGGAGGGTGGCTTGTAATTACTGTTTTGATTTTGATGAAGAGGAAGCGGCTTTAAAAAAAAAAAAAATTGCAATCCCCCTATCTCTGCCCAAAGAAACCCTGTGTTTGCACCATTGCCTTTTAGCTACACAGGAGGCTTTGCAAGAAGCTCTCTTTCCAAGGTCACTGAAATATAATGGAGAAAAAAAACAAAAAAAGAAAAAAAACACAGTTCAAGCCCTTTCAAAACAACCTGCTGCTTTTCCACATGACCATTGTTTCTGGAACAATTTCTAATAGGAGCATTTACATCTTTATAGGATTCCCCCCGCCTTTAATATTTGTAAGAAAAGATTTTCTGATATGTAGTCTGTGAGGATTGGCAATAGGCCTGTGTATTTGAGAAATCCTGTTGTTGGATGGTGCTCTGTTTCCAGGACGTGATAGAGCAAAATGATTGAGCAAATTTCTTTCATGCAGGATGATATACTGTTTCCAGTACAGTATGCCGTCCCATATAAAAACAAACTTGCTCCATTTTTATGATCTACAAAGCAAATAGCTAAATAACTCCAAGTGCTTGGCTGCCTGTAGCACTCAGCAGCCATCTGTGATCACAGAGGATGCAGACAGGGCGCTGGGCAATGCGCTTGTATACATTAAATTAAAGATTTGTTATTTGAAATATGAAGAGACTCCAGTCATGCCGCTTGTCACGGTTTAAGCACGTGATGCATCTGCTTGAACCTGATGAAACTTCTCAAGGACTTGAGTTGGATCTGTGGCTTAGCTCATAGCAGAGCCTAGTAGATGTTCAGTCCATTCCTGCAATTTTCCATGCTCTCCTGATCAAATGCAGTGCTTAACTCCTCCTGCTTTTGTCCTAGATGAATTACCCTATCTGAGGTGTCCTCTTCATACCATTTTCAAACTCACTCCAGTTGCATACGGTAAACATTTTCTTTTTCTGATTCATTTGAGTATGTTTGAATCTGATGGCAAGTTTATGTGTACGTGGAGAAGCAAAAGGCCTTACTGTAAATAATCATTAGTTTAGTTTTTTAAAATCCAGGAGGTTAATTTATGCTCACTTTATGAGCTGTTTTAACAGATTTTTTTAATAAAAATACATTTCCTCCTGTAACTTTTCTTTTCCTTTCGGTAAAGGTTGTAAAGTGGAAACAATTACCCTGAATGTTGAAGCAGTAAACACCCACCGTGACAAACCTTCTTTGAATTCAGTAAGTCTTTCAACCAAATTGGGGCTTTCAGGCTCTTTCAAAACCTTTGCTGCCTTAATAAGTAAAACTCCAAAACATTCACTGTAGATTTTTAATCCCTTGTTAAAATGCTGACTTGTAGTAACTGGGAAGATCAACTTTAGAAATATTATCAGCAAAAGTAGAGCTAATTATGTATTGAATTAATCAGGTACTCAATTTGCTTCCAAAACCAGAAGGAAGCTTAGTCAAACTCAAGAATTTGAATAGTCAAACTCGAGTCACTTTCATTAGGACACATTTTAAAATCAGGATCTTGGTGCCATTTCTTAATGAAACACTTGTTGCTGATGCTTATTATTTGCATTAGCAACCTGATAATCTCAAAGATGTCACAATATCAGGAGTGAGCTTTTTCAATCTATCTTAATGAGCTTTCTCTTGTTTGTGAAGTCCTCAGTAGCATTAGGCAGAGCTTTGAGGCCATTCCACTCCTTCAGGTATGTTTTCTTCTAGCTGGCTTTTATCAGTGTTTGTAGCTGTCAGGGCAAGGTTGTTGCTGTGTCTGTGTCTTATGTAGAAAGTTAGAAGTGCAAGACTCACTTGTCAGTTATTTCAGCAGGACGCAATTATGTTGTGTGTAGTTATCCAAGGGAGCTTGAGATCTTTTCCCTTCACCCTTGTCTCTTCAGATGTTTTTTTTCTTGAAAGCTCTGGGTAAAGCTAATACCTATCAACACGTAGGGTGCCAAAGTAGTTTGGAATCAAATTTATCATCCTTCCACTAGGAATCTTGTAGTAGTGGCTATTTTTGACTGACTAGGGGCATTACACTAGTTTTATATATAAAACCCTGTCTCCTGGATTGCTTGGATGAACAACCCTCTACCTTGTTCAGTAAAGGACATAAATATGTACTAAATCTGTAGAAATAGCTCCTATTTTTGCAAACATAGTTTTGTTTTGTTCTGCAGGGACAAGTCTCATAGCAACTGCAGGCATCGGGGGTGCTATTTAGCAGTTGCCTGCGATTAGGCTGCCCTAATTAAAGGCTATTAATCAACCTTATACTGTGTTAGCTCACAGTAAAGATTGTAAGAGCAAATGCATCATATTTTATGTCTTTCTGGTAGAGTTCCACTTTTAGCTGCTTTTCATCATTGCAGGGGTTTTATAAAGAGCTCCAGAAGTGAAAAGAATTCTTTGCTAATTGCCTTTGATGGTTTCTTTTGCCTCCCAGCTTGAGGCAAATAGCACTGATAGCCCCAAATGCGAACAGCATCAGAATCAGTGGATGCGAAAATCTGCTCGTGAGCTGATAGACTTAAAAAGCTGAAAATTGGCTGGCCACAAAATGTTAAATGAAGATATTCAGCCAGATATCTGTGGCTAGTATCATTTTGGGGTGTCTAGTTAAGGCATTTATTGCTTTGCTGCCTCTGATTCGTGTGTTGAAATCCTTAATGCTCCCTCAGAGAGGGTAGAAGCAGTTTCTGGGTGGTTTTTTTTTTTTTTTTTTTTTTGCTTGCTTGGGCAACACACGGCTGCTTTGGGAATAAATACAAATATGGTAAAGTACACTATTTGTTTTCTTCTAAATTCCTTGTAAAAATAAGCAAAAAAAAAAAAACCTCAAAGGGAAGTAAAACTGCAAAAAATGCACTTTTATGCACTCTCTAAGCAGCTCTATTAACCCATAAAAGTGGTCGTTTCCCCGTGCTCACTGTGTGCTCTGCCAGGCACAGTACTCTGGGCAGCTTCCAGGAGCTGGTTTGGTGCTGCTGTTGGCACGAGCTGCCACCCCCCGAAATCGGCCTCTCGCAATAAAGCTTCCGAGGGGCTTTGCTGACCTATAGCCTCTTCTGCTCCCGTGCAAAGAGGATTCCAGAAAATCTAGAGGGATTAAAAAGCCTGGAGAGCTCTAGACATTGTTTGGTGCTTTGCTTTGGTGCCTGTTGGTCTGGAGTCAACAGCTCTGCAAGTCACGGCAGGTGGAAGATAGCAGGAATGTGCTGGTGTGCAGTATGATTTGAAGTTGTGGTTCCACTTTTCATTCCTTGTGATATCCTCCGTTTTCAATCAGAACAACCTTCCCACGAGCCAAACCCCTGTAAGGATGAGAAGAAACAGCCTTACACCGCTGGCCAGTGCGGACACAATAAAGCGCCCAAGAAATTACAGTGTTGGGAGCAGGCCTCTCAGTCTACTGGGGTCTTTCCTATTCCTGGAAGCTCAAGATGAGGCAGATCAGCCACGGCTGCAAGTCAGTGTCTGAGTGGTAACTTGCCTGTGCTCTCCCCTCCCGCAGCTGCTCCCCACTAACCCTTCGTGTCACTCTCCCACAGTCACCAGTGGACGTGTTTGCAATGTGAGCAGATCCTCCCCCTCCTTAGTGTCTCGTGCACTGTCCCTGTTCCCTCTGGAAAATCATTCCAGATCACAGACTCCATGGTAGAAACTGGGCTCCATGCAGGTGAGTTTGCCTCGGCATAACAGGGCTTCTTGGAAGGCTGGTTAATTCTAACTAATACTCTGCTTTCCAGACAGGGCTTATTGAGGAAGGGTTGTAGATGCCCTGCTTGTCCAAATTCCATAAAATCTATGCAGCCAAGAGTTCCCCAAGCCCCAACACAAGTGGTTAGGGAATCTTTGTGTTCATAATCTTGTTGGTGCAAAACAAAAAACAGATACTTAATATCAGTTTCTTGTTGAACAATTAATTTGGGCTCCTGATGTTCAGGTTAAAATTAAAAACTAAAACTGCTTAGCTTTTGGCACTTTATGTTCCTTTTAGCGTAAATGCACACAGATCCTCACCAGTTTTGTCTGTGAAGGTCCCCTTGCATGAAATTGTTTTTCCCACTAAATTAGAAGCTTTTTCTGTGTCTCCTTTCGGCCACTTCTCTCAAGGGTTGTGCCGAGGAGCCCCTCGGTTCTACAGGACAAGCTGCTCTGTTTTCCAGGGCAAACAGACACTGCTGCTTTTGCCTGCTGACTCTTGCAGAGGAGACACCACAGACAGGCCTGGCTTGGATGTGGCTTTTTGTCACGCGAGACAGACCGGAGTCATGTGAGGGAATCGGAGGTGGCCTGGCTGGCTTCCTCAGGTGTTTTGTTCCTCTCTTTGGACACAGCTATTGTCACTAAAGTGATTCTTTCCACAGCTCAGGGTTGAAGTCAGCGTGTCCTGGACTTGATGGAAGCTGCTGTAGGAAGCCAGGGAACCTCATTTTGGACTTTCAGACTGTTTCTTGCCTGTGGCATCAGTGCAACTCAGTGCAGCAAAAATCTTCCCTTTAGTAGGGCCCTCTTGTAAAGGGTCTTATCTATTAATTTTGAACATTTTACACTGTAGTATCTTTCAAGCCATTTATTAAGCCCTGCTTCTCTTTTTCCTTCCTGCTGGCAGGCTAAGTGGTCAGGCAGTAAAAGAAGGAACCGTGCAGCAGAGGTGAATGTTGCTGAAGATGTGCATGAAGCCCAGACAGCTTCAAAATCCCAGGGCTTCAGCAGGAAATAAGTTACAGAGCTTCTGACCTTTGCAGGAGCTGCAAATTTGGCCCATAACTACTTAGTAGAGAAGAACCTAACCTTAGAGTGCTGAATACTCCTCATTTGTGTGGCAGTGAGCTCTCAGGATGTCATTAGCCCAGCCTATAACCAGGACCGCATTTGAACACAACCTGCTAGAAACTGGAAACAAAATAAATTCACAAAATGTGCTATAGTGGCCAGGGGAAGGGGTAGAAATAAAATTTCCCATTTAAAACATTGTGTTTATTCATGGGCATTCATTAGGCTAGTTCTCAACTCTAGAGCTGCAGAAAGGGGCACGTCTGCAGTGTCAGGAGTGGAGGTCTGGGCACGGTCAGCATTTGCACTTCCAGCTGCTTAAACTTTCAGCAGGTCCTTTGGTGTCTTAAGTTGCACAGCCTCAAAGCAGAGATCCCCTGCTACCCAACCCGCTCGCTGATTGTAATTACGTTTGCAATAGTAATGTTTTAGCATTTAAGACTTTGCAGCTTAGGAGCATTTAAAACTCCTCTCTTGGTGAGTCCCTGGGCAGCAGGGAAGGGTGCAGGTCTGAAACTCTCACCTGAATGGAGCCGTTTAGCCCAGGGCGCTGTGCAGAAGCTGCCCGTGTGACCAGAGTCACCGAGGCCTCAGCAGGAGGTTTCCATGACTTGTATCATGATCCAGGTCATGATTTCCATGACTTGCCCTGATCCAAGTCTGCAGAGATCGCTCCCTGGGGTGAAATCCTTGGGGTCGTTTCACTTCTTTCCTCCCTTGCTTCAATGTTTTTGCTCTTAAATCTTGGTTAAATCTTGGTATGAGCTGTCTTGTGCTGTTTCTTTTTCCTTTGCAGCCTCAAGTGGGAAGTGCTTGCCTGTGAGTACCACTGAAAGCAGCTTGTATCTACTGCCTCTGGTTTGGTTTACTGGAATTCTCTTGATTAAACTTGCATGGAAGCTCCTTTGGGGGAAGGCAGATTAATGCATGAAGCAGTCTTTTGCTATATAATAATTCTGTCATTAAAAGGGCTCTTAGTAGGTGAGGAGCTTTTAATGAAGCCCAAGACCCATCCTGGTGGGTAGTTTTTGTGTTGGCTGTTTGCAAAAGTGTGCATTTCACCCCAAACTTGCACAGTCCCTGGACCAAGAGACTAACATTGGAAGCCTTAGATTCTCTCACGGAATTAACTCGCAGGCTGCCTTACTACTCAGACACACTTAAAACTCAGAAGTTTCAGAGTTTCATCCCACAGGACGTTACCTTTGTGTGTAGCGAAGGGGATGATGATTGTAATTTGTATGGGAGCTTAGGCTCATCCCCAGCTGCGGGTCTGCAGAGAGCTGTTGGAGCAGGGCAGCCTGCCCCAGGACTCGAGGGCTCTGCATTAGCAGTTACTGCAGCCGCTAACTTAGCTCATGCACTGACCAGCTGCGAGTCCTGGGAAGGTCTCCTACCTGCTTGGCCCTGCTCTGCCCAAACCAGGGATGGGATGGTGTCTGTCACAGGGATTTTGCAAGGATCATTCGTTCATAGCCTGGATGGAAGTGCTGCTGTCAATGCTCAGTTTCCAGTGACTTTGAGACTCTCTAAGGGACATTAGCACCATGCAAGGAGGTTCTCAGAACCTCTCTGTCCGGGCAGCATGCTCTGAAAGTGACTTTGTGAATGAAGCTTGTATTAGTGGCAAGTGTCATCCATCAGTCCTCCTCGCTGTCCCCTCCCAAAGTGGGTGAGGAGTGTGGGGCAGTGTCTCACCCTACGGAGAACCCTTCATTCTGTTCCCTTCTCTCCAGGGAGCCTGCAAGCATCGCCTGTGAGACCTTGGTTTCTATGTCAGCCTCTCAGTGAGGCAGCCAAATGAGAGGCTTTCAGTGCTGTGCACGGGGCCGGGAAGTCACCCCTGCTTCGCCATGCACCTCCATTCCCCCCAAGCCACCCTGCCAGCCTCGAGGCCTCCTGCTGCTCCAGTGGCTGGTGCAGATGCTCCCGAGCCCCTTGCTAACCTTGCTCCGTGTCTCAACTCTTGCAGCGCGTCGGTGTCGGAGCGCTTGTCGAGGTGGGATGTTGCCCCTCCAGGTACTGTGTTTGCGGGGCTGGCTGTGCTGCACGGAATACTCTGCTGAGCTGGGTGGTACAGCAGGAGCCTGCCTGTATCTACGGCCCCGCAATGTATATGTGCCTCCTTGCCCGTGCCGTGCTGCCTCCGCGCGCCTTGTGATAATGTATCTAGGAAACCAGGGATTTTACCGCTCTCCGAAGCCTTTCCCACCTGGAGGGCTTGTGCATTTTACCTGCTCTGCTGCAAATGTTAGTCTTTTGATAACCTTGGGGTGCGAGTGGAAGGTGTCCTGTGCCCATCGAGCTGTCCTGCAGCCTGCCTGCCTTCGGGAATGGTTGACTCCGTGCCTGGAAGCGCCTGTGCCCCGCGACGCTGTGACAGCGGCACTAAGGGGACGGCCTTGCCCGAGTGACCCCTTCCCTCCCTGCGAGGGCTGCAGGGTGAGAGGTGTTGGGGCTCTGCTGGCCGCCGGAGCCGAGGTCTTGCCGGCAGAGCACCAAGCTCTGCACCCCTGCTCGCCTCTGCCCTGGCGCTCGGGCAAATCAGCCAACCGTCCGGTGCTCTGCTCACAAATTCTGAGGTAGACCTGGATTTAAACTATAAAAGTTAAAGCGATAGCTTTAGATAGGGAAATTAGAGTTTCATTATGGAGATTCCTGTTATTTCACTCCAAAGCAGGAGACAAAACACTTGGAATGCCAAGACTCAGGTCCCACAGTTTTAGGATATGACGGGCATCTTTTTTTCAAGCAAGGAAAGGTGCCACTTCATATTGAGATAATGGAAGTAAAATTGCTCTCCAGGTAATGTCCGCAGAGTCTGAGGAACTTTCACTTCGATGTGTTCACTTAAGTTTTGCATTTTGTTATGCTTTGGTCTTGAAGCATTTCCAATGCCTGTTCAATACAACCCCACCGTTTCTACAGGGCTAGTATTTGCACACATTTCTTAAGCTCAACTGTGGTCCTAAATCCAAGCGACTCTTGGTCTCCTCTCTGCTTTGTGATAATGTTTTTAATAATGTTCCAGAGAGGTTTTAATAAGGTGACAGAGCTGCAGGAGCGCCCGCTGCCAAGCTCACATGTCCAAGGGCGTCTCCTGTGGCAGAATGGTGGCTTTTGCCACGAAATTCTCAAAAATGACACCTTTCTCCGTTGGTTTGAGAGGCTTTAATGCTGCTGATGAGGGGAAAGGGAGGAAGAAGGCGGGATGGGGAAGCCTGTGTTCACTGCTCATGTAGGGTTGGCACTTTATTTAGAGGGACAGCTGGGGAGTTGTCCCCAGGCTGAGCAGCAGAGCCCTGCTTACCCCTCAGCAGGCTGCCCTTTCTAAGACCCCGCTCAAGTGTTTAGTTCCCTCTCTTTAAGAAAATAAGAAGTTCCTAGGAGGTGCTAAGTGTGCAGATAAGCAAAGGGAACTTGGCCCAACTTCCTTGATTCCGGTACAGATGGAATGATGTTTTGCTTGAGAAAATACCCAGTGAGCAGCTATTATAGATCACCTCTATGTTTGTGTATCTGATGGCAGGTTGCGTTTGTTTTTTTGTTTTTTTGTTTTTTTTTTTGATCTGATGTGTTGTTGGGAAATCTGTTTAGTTTTTTAAATGAGAACCAAAAAAAAAAGTTTGAAAACGTCCTGTATGATAGATTTTAAGTCTTGATGCCTATTGTTAATCGTCAGCACACTGGGGTGTGGGTTGTGTTTTCTTTATTGCTTTGTTCCCTGTCCATCTTGGCATTGCAACTTGCGCGTCCTGACTTAGATACCAGTTTGCTGCTCCCAAAATCCTGCAGCAGAGCAGAGTGGTCCCTAACAGCTCGGATCCCTTTCCAGTATTTTCTGTGCTTGGGCTATAAGATGCTGAGTGAACTATAACTGCTTTAGAAAAGCCTGACTGTCAGATTTTACCTTGTAAGATTGCATATCTGTAAATGTGATTTGTTTTTACTAATGAATGCATTCTTGTTTTTTGAGCCTTAGTGAGGCAATGGAAGCAATTTAATTGCAAAATCAAGTATTTTGTGTGCTTAATATGCAAGCTGGTTACTGCAGTGTTTCTTACCTGTGTCCTAGAAGTGTATTTTCCTGTGAAAATGATGAATAAAACTAAGTAATGTGAATAACAACTCTGTTTCATTATTGTCTGCCTCGGAGATGCTCCAATAAACCTTACTCTGCTTGATCTCAGGTATAAGACTGGAGTAAAATCCTCCCTTTCTGAGTTTTACAGGAGGCTAAAGAATGATGCAAGGGGTAAAATAATTCAGACTCTTTGTCTGAAAGTGCCAAGTTTGAGTCCGTCTGTATCTGGCAAGAAGGCTGCCTGGGACTGCCTGCAAATAAGGATCAAAGATTAAGATGATTTAGCATTTCTTGATTTTGATTTTTTTTGCCTCATTATAATCTGTGCCACTTCTTTTCGCTTGTAGAGGATGGCTGCTTTAACGGTGTAGAGGTTTCTGGTCTCATCCTGAGCACGGCTGGGATTTGCACAGATATCCCCGTGGGCAGAAGCTCTCCTTGGACTCGTGTGCCTTGTGACTCCTGGAAGCGCCGCAGCCGCCACCGTCCCCAGGCACCTGCAAGCACAGTGAGCCGGTTGGCACTTCGGCCAGTAACGTTGCTTGAAATATATTTTAAAGCTTTTCTGTGATTATTTTCGTCTCTTTTTATTTGTAAATGCTGAAATGCCTGTCAATGGGACTGAAGGAAATTTGTTATGAAGGTTTTCAAGTTGTTTTAATGTGTGTGTATGTGCGTTGGGCAGCAGGCCATGTGTGCTCTAACGTATTCCTGCTTTTATTTAATTCTCATTGTCATTTAAGTTCACGCACAGTTACTCAGTGTTATTTAACTGTTGAAATAGGTCCAGATATCCCCTTTTCTTTTTCCTTTTTTTTGATCTGAAGCACTACATCTGGGCATGTTCTTATGTTTTGGGAAGGCTCTTTGAGCCTAGCATAACAAAAGCCCCTGGTAAAGTCAGGTAATCTTTATGAAGTTTATCACGCTGAGGAGCAGCAAAAGGGAAAAATTGCTATTTTGTAGAAAGAGCCAAATTACCAGTGCTGTTCAAATCCTGCTTTAGCTTTGCACTCTGTTTTAAGCCTCATCCCATCACTTGTTTTCCTAGGGTTTGGCAGAAGCTTTTCCATGTCTTAAAACAGATATAGTTCTGTTATTCTATAGCATGTCATATGAGCTTCTAGATTCTCCATTTACCATCCTGTTCCACCTACTTTACCCAAAACCTCTGAAAATCAGTGTGAATGCGTGTGCCCACGTGCTCCTTTGCGAATATCTGCAACCCTAGGGCTCAGCTTGGGCTGCAGAGAGCAGTTGAGTAACATTCATTCCCAAACGTATTTTCTATTTTTCAACTTATTTTTCACTCCTATTATTATCCTTTTAAAGACAAAATTGTCCGAGTTGTTATCCTAAAGAAATGGAAGTTTAGATACATAAATAGGAGCACCATTTTTATTAGGTATTATGCCTGTCTCCAGTGACTTAAGCAGGATTTACAGGAGCCCCAGAATTTCTGAGATCAAAATTGCTTGTTTTAATTGTATAAATAAACATTGGACATGCCTAAAGTAGGTGTGTATGCTTGAAAAATGCAGAGCAGGAAGTTAAGAGGAGTCTCTTTTTGCCTCTACTGCCAAGGAGCCCAGTTGGGAGCCTGAGGTTTTTCCGTGGAATTGCAAGAGCTCCGACCCAATTGTTTTAATCACTCCCAGTATTTTAACTTGGCAATGCTGTAATGGGGAAGAGCTTAAGGGTATGTTGGGCTTGGCAACTGCTCTGTAGAGAGCTGAAACTTGCAGTGGGTGGGAAAATTTGATTTTTTTTTTCTTTTTTTACTAGTTCTGTGTGATCTTACCGCTGAAAGGCAGGTTTGTTGCTGCCCTCTGCCAAGTTAGCAGCAGCAATTCTTTGTTTTAAACGTTAGCTTGCTCAGGAATGAGCTAGGAAAAGGGAAAGAAACTATTGTGAAGGAAGAGATTCACAGTCTGCTGCCAGGGGATGTTCCCTGCCGCTTCCTAGAGTGATTCTCTAATTGCCTGAACTTGCACCTGAGCAGCCTTTCTGCTTCTAACAATAAATCCTCCCTCTCTGCAGGGAACACAAATGAAACCATGCCCTAAGTTGCTTGTGCACAATCCACTGTAAGAACGTTATACAGAAGGATTATATTTGTGTCATTACCTAGTTAATGTTTATAACAAAAATATATTTTTACATGCCAGAATCCCTGTATGTAGCTGCTAATATGTTGGCAGTGCTAACTCTTTAATCACTGCTGAAAATCCGTTCTGCGACAGAAATTTTGCATTTGACTCCCGTCCCGTTCCTACCCAGCAGCTACTTGCTTGGGCAGCCACCTTATTGGCGGGGGCAGAGCCTGTTGCCTCCATCTGCAGGAGTCAGTTTGTGCCTCTGGGCTTTGGCTAAAGCCTAAATATCATTCTGTTCTTTATTTTAACTTCCAAAGGGTGCAATTACATCTGTGGAGCAGAGCACGGGCGAATGGGTGCTGCTCCGTCCTCTGCAGTGACCCTGCTCTCCTCGCGGGGATGCAGCTGGCTCATAAATACGCCTGATGTTGGGGCTGGGTTGGCAGTGCCAGGGAGGGCACAGGTCTCCCCTGCCTGAAACCTGCCAGCCGGCGTTTTGTGCCAGGCAGTTCCTTGAAATCACATGACTTCCATGGCATTATTCGTGCAAATACTCCAGAATAAATAAAGATTGCACAATTTACCTGAATGGAAAGATAGAGGCTTGCGCGCTCAGTTATGGCAGAGTAGCCTTCCTCTGCTAGGCATGCAGAGCCTGTTCCAAACCCTGCCGTGGGGGGTGAGAGGTTGCAGTTGGCTGTGTTATGTGGTTAGCAGCGCACCTGAAGGAGGTGCCCTGCTTTGCTGCCTCCTTTGCTGCCTCCTTTGCTGCCTCCTTTGCTGCCTCCTTTGCTGTGCCCGCGGTCAGCGCTGCCCGCCTGGCAGCCCCATCCGTTGGGATGCGCCCTCAGACTTGGCACTGCTGGAGCTGCAGCCCAGGGCTTGTTGCCGTGTCATATTTAGACATTACAGCTAGTTCCCTGTGACTTTTCCCCTTCCAGTCACCTCGCCATCCCCAGCCGTTCTCGCTTGTCCTCGTGTCCTTCGCCCTCCTCTTTTGGGGCAGTTACTGGTGTCAGGGGCTCAGCACGGTCGTCACCAGTGTCCTGCTGTGGGGACAACCTGGAGAGAGGCGTTGCCTTTGGTCCTTGCAGCACATGCCTGGGTGTGAAGGGGGCTGGGAGGTTCCCATCCCAAACGGGACCTGCTTCCCAAGCTGGCTTTGGAAGAGGATTCTGCAGGTGCCACAGCTGCTGCGTGTGTCTGTCGTGCTGTCTCTGGGTAGTAAACACTGTTTGTGAAGCTGCAGCTCTGTTGAATATTTGATGAGATGGATGTTCTGTTGGAGTTTTGCTACTTTATGGCTTTCTGATGATTTTCTTTGTTGGTTAAATAATGTGATGTATGCAGACTTGTCTTGCTATATGTTGTGTACCCTTGGCACTTACGCACAAATAGCTCATGAGCTTTTACTTGCAATAAAAAGGTTTTTAAAAAATCTTGCTTCCCTGTTACTTTCCATCAGTGTCTGCTATAACTAATTGTATAGTCTACTGGCTTTGTAAGATAATTGTCTTCGAATGCGTGGCCTCTATGGAAAGTATTTAGTGGAGGAGGGTTGGTAGTGAAGAACAGACCTGTCTGACTTCCAGGAGTTTTACAGCAATGGTTAGGAAATGAGCAGTATTATATGTTGGAGCTACTGCTCCATTCCCCTTCCCTAAATTAGCTTTAAGGATGTTATAGTTGGAGCTATTGGAAATCAAATTAGAGTTTCCTGCTTCTAGCTGTTTTTCTTTAGCCGAAAACACCTTTTTTTCCTAAAAACAAAACTTTCTAAAATGCATTTTTAAAACTTTTTTCTGAAACAAAACTCATTCTCAAATGCATTCTAAGAAAAGCAACCAGCACTTTGAATCTCCAGTTATGATCCCAGCACATGCACCTGAACCAACCTTTGCAGTTCTCAGCTGCATCGTTCCCATTGGGCTCAGGTACATCGGTGGGTGCCCCGTGTTGGCCTGCAAGGTGGCTGAGGGCACTAACTGGGAGAAAGCAGCAGTTTTGCAGACCTCAAAATTACTTTCTTGCCTTTCTTTGCTAGACCAGAAAGGACTCACCGGCCACAGCCTCAAGAGAAGATGCAGAAACGTGTGGTAGGTGAAAAACGCATATCCTGTTTCGTGTGTGCCCCATTGCACGCTGTGGGTTTGGCGGGGCTCGTGGGTGTTTTGCAGCTGTCAAAGCAGCTGGTGGGTTTTTGTTTAGCTCTTTCCTGGCCCTGGTTTGTGCCAGGTTGATGCTCCTGGCAGCAGCTACAGCCGCTCTGCAGTTCTTAGCGCTCCTGGGAGGCATGGTGCCCATAAGGAAGTTGGTTATTTTTTCTTTGCAGCATAAAGGGGGAAAAAAATCAGACAAGTCACCTGGAAAAATAAATAAGCGAAGGAGAAGGGCCTGTGCTTGTGTTTGAGATGGACTGGATTCCTGTAAATGTTTGAGGGGGGTCACTGCCTCTTCTGAAGTAAGCGGGGGCCTGTCGTGAGCAAGCCCAAACTTGTGGGGTGAAATATGGCCCTGTTGAGAACCAAATCTATCTCCAAGCTTGTTGGCTTGGATCCAGCTGAACCTTTGCAGGATAATATATTGCACCAAACGCAGGGATGAGGTAATTTATTTTTAAGAACCCATTAGATTTGGCAGAATGAAACAAAGCCTATTGTAAGCAAGACCAAGAGGTGAAAGGGCTATGGTTGTTTTTGGATGGTAATTCAAGCCTGCGCTTGGGCTGGGTGGCTTGATTGAGAGCATAAGGGCAAATGCTTATGAGCTCTGCCAAAGCTCATGGTTGCAAGACAAACTAAGAGAAGGAATGAGGTTTGGGAAGAGCTTTCAGGTGCAGCTCAGAGTGGGACAATCACCTCGTGCAGGTCCCCACGGGGCGCTCCAGGGTGCCCCTTGGGTCCCAGCCACCTTGTCTTCCTTACCATTACTGTTGGAACAAGCAAGAACAGACTCCCTCAGCCCAGCTCCAGCTTGTTTTACATGTGTATCATCTCAGGAAAGAATTGGCAACTCGGAAAACAAACAGTTTCAACATCTGCTTGGATTGCATTCCGTTTTCTAATATTTCGTGGGCTGAGCAAAACACTTCCTTGCTCAGTGGAGGAGTTAATAATTTATAGGCAAACTGTCACAATTCTCGATTCCGCAGAACTCGAGCGTGTCTGGCTTTAGCCTTTTTGAGCCTTCGTGAGGGTGCAGGCGCCTCCTAACTCCTCCAGCCTTGGGTTTAGACCAGGGACATCGTCCTTGTGTCCTGCAGAACCAGACGTGTGTGACCTCTGCCTGTGTCCTGCTCGTGGCCCCTCAGGTAAGAGAGCAGAGCTGCAGGCACCGTCGCTCTTGGGCGCTGGCCTGGAGCGTTCTTGCAGTGCCAGCAGGCAAGAAATAAAACAGCAGCGAGGAGAGCTGGCTTTAGAGCAGATGGGGAGGAGAAAGGGAGAATACTGCAGCAGGAAAGTGTGTTTAACCTCCTTTTAGCTGGGAATTTCTCATTAGAGTCACCTTTGGGCAAAGCTTCAGGAAAGGCTGTTTGGTTTCCAAAGGCAAGGTAGGTGCGTACCAATAGAAGGGTTTAGGCTCATAAAATGGGATTCTGGATAACTGAAGGCCAGAGGTGAAGTTTTTATTGGTCTCTAGGGGAACCAGGTTAGTCCAAATTGTATTTATATCACTTTTTGAAATGGAATTTAGTCTCCTAAGTGTCTTCTGTGCTTTATAGCTTGGCTCCAATTGGTGTGATTTGCACAAAGCTACTGTACAGATGTTATATAGCTGGATCTCTCTAGTTAGCTCTTTTTCACATGCTGCCACATGCACAGTCTGTTTATAGTATATTGCTGTGTTAACTCCAGCTGCATTTCATGTGACTGAATTGGCTTCCAAGAAATTTATTATTAAAACAAAATGTTTTATCTATGAGTTAATTTTCAGGGAGGACACATTGCAGAGGACATAGTGAAATTAATGACCCTGTAGGTGTTCATTTGACTGGTCAGCTGGGAAGAACTATGGGCAAGCTATGTAATGATTTGAAGTTAAACCTGTCTAACTGCAAAATACCCTCCCTTTTGAGTAGCACTTTCATTCTATGTTTAGGCTTTTTTCTTTTTTATGTCTTAATTTTAAATTCTCGTTAAAAGCTACAGTCTCAAAAATGGGACTGATTAAGTAACTTCCAAGAATTTTACTCAAAATGTGCAGTCCTGCTTATGCTGTATTTTCATTTCACTTAGCGTGTGGTGTTTGAGGCAATCTTCGTTTCCCAAATTCAGCCCTGCCTCACCAGATCAGATCCTCTGTGTCCCATATTGGTGCTGTCACAGTTTATGCTGCAACAGCATCTGCAGCGTCTACCCCGATCCTAACCAGAGGAAGGAGACAAATGAAACGTGTTTGTATGAGCTGTGTTTATCCGAAATATAAATTCAATGCTCTGTCTCCTGATATTTTTTGCAGATATTTTGCCTGGAAGAAAAATGTGATAACTTCTGTGAGATCTTCAGGCAGGGGAGCTGGAATGAAGATGTCAGCAGTGCAGCCTGGGAAGCACGAGTATCGTGCCACCATCTTCAGACTGTTACTGGCTGCTGGTCTTGTCGCTGATGTCCAGAGTAAGTGAAGGTGAAAATAGAGCAATCCACCAGGAGAAAAAAAACTAAGATTCTTTGAACACAAATTTTCCCCTGAAGTTCATATCATTCACTTTTCACAATCATCATTTACTTTTTCTTTTTCCTCTTGCATTTCCAGAGTGTTCTAAACTTCTGTAATCAGAATCTCTCCTCCTTGGGTTCAGCAGCTCCAGAGTTATAGCCTCTGAGGTGTTCTCTCCTGTGGACTTTTATAGGAAATCATGCCTAAGCTGTCAATGCTTTTCCTTGGGAAAAAAAAAATATATTTATCTTCCTAGGTTCTTGTGAGCCCCCGCCACGTTTACCATCTGCAGAACTGAAAGATGCTTATCAGCACATTGCGGATTTTTCTGAGGATTCAGAGGTGGAGTATGTCTGTCGTCCAGGTTACATGAGAAATATCCGGGTCAAAAGTACTTTGATTTGTAAAAATAATAGGTGGAGAGGAGCAGACGACATTTGTGTACGTAAGTACGTTTTGGATTTACTTTTGATTTTATTCTTTCTTCAGTGGTCCTGTCAGCTCATTTGTTTAAACAGTGTACAAACAATCATGTGGGATGGTGGAAAACCAGTGATAACACAGAACACCAGCTATAAGTCCTCTTATATCCACTAAATACCCAGAACGATGGCAGCAGCTGAAACCTGCTTTGATGCTGATTGCCTTGGACTAACTATATTGAAAAGCATTTTTTTCTGCTCTGAAACTCTGTTAACTCTTTTAAAAAAAAAAAAAAAAAAAAAAAAAAGCTTTCAGATCCTTCAATAACAGATTCCTCTATTCCTAACAGAGGAGGAATATTCTGTTTTCATTGACGTTTTATTTTACTATTTCTTTGGGAAAATAAACAAAGAACTAATGCCAGTGCCGTTGTCCTCCAGCAAGGTTATGCAGATACCCTCGAGAGCCAGCCAACGGCAGAATACTTCTGGGGGAAAAATTCACTCTTGGTTCAACAGCAACCTTCGTCTGTGATCCTGGGTAAGCAATGAGCGCTCAGACACAACCCCTTGGGACGTGAAGAAACTTTCTAGTCTAATTTTCTGTAAAACCAGAGGCTAAAGCACTGTCTCTCCTCTCAAGCCCGCATGCCGTGCCTGGCTTGCTGCATGTTGTCTCTCTGTCTTCCCGTTTGTATTCAGAGGCTTGAAAGGACAGAGTTTTGGCACGCTGCATAGGCCAGTTGTGGATCTTTGGGCTCACTAATACTGCAAGCCACAAACGAGATAAAATCTCCCCTCGTGGATTTTCTTCAGTCTTCTCCCTTTAGATTAGAGACACACAACAAACAAAAAAACCCTATAACTCTTCAGATATTTTGTTTGGGTCTGATGTCCAGTTAAACAAGGACACCTGTGATACCACCTCTTTCTACAAGTATGTGAGATAAAAGAATGATACATCCATCCCAGCATAAATGTCATGTCTCTAGCTGTATTTCAGAATTAAAATGTTGCATATCACATATAAAAATTTTAGATAAAATTGATTTTCCTTAAAACCAAACACTTGTTCATTAAAAACATAGTTTTGTTAAAAATTCAGTGCATTACTGATAAAAGCCATTCATTAAAGCTCTAATTATACTAATATAGCAAAGATAAAACCATACTGATGGCAGTGATATAGGCAGTATAGAACTGAATTTGACATGTAGCTTTTCCTCTCCTATTTCACATAGGCACCGACTTGTTGGAAGTTCCAATATTCAGTGTGTGCTTAAAAATGGGGTTGTTACATGGGACAAGGAGATTCCATTCTGTGAACGTAAGTAGAGCTCCTGAATTGAAGTATTGTGCAAATGTTAATGAGACTGCATAAAGAAATAATGACATTATCCTATTGACGGTTTTGGCAGTTTGCTGCATGTGTATTTTTGGTGTGTTTGTGGGTGTATGTATGCATATATAAACTTTTTCCATGTCATTTTGTAGGAAATTTTACTCTCTGGAGTAGAACAGCTGCATGTAAAATAGACATATCCCCAAGTAAAATAGACATATCCCCAAACTGCACCACTGCAGGGTCATCTCTGCTGTGTGTGACCTGTAGCATGCAACTCTCCTGAGCCTTTAATTTCCTGTGGCCAATGATTCTGGCACCTGATTTTTCAATATCCTTTTCTTATCAGGCCTATATAGACTTTTAATTCCTTCTCTCTTTCTCCCCTGTCCATCCCGTGGCTTTACCATCCCTCTCTTCCCCAGCAATACCATGCCCGCCCCCTCCGGACATAGCGAACGGAGCCTATAGTGGAACCATCAGAGGCGAGTTCAGTTACGGAGCCACTGTCACTTACCACTGTGACACCGTCAGGAGGGGAGAGATGCCTTTCTCGCTCATCGGCGATGCCTCTATTCACTGTACGACCACAGATGACCTGAACGGGGTCTGGAGCAAACCTGCCCCCGAGTGCAAAGGTGACTTCTCCCTGGGCTTGACATGCCAGCACACGTTGTAAACCCATTGGCACGAGGTAGCAACACCAGCCTTGCCTCTTGGACTGGGTGTCTAATTCCCAGTTTCCTAAAGCTGGTTTCTTCAGTCGAATCTCTCCGTTGTGCCGTTGCAATCACCCCTAGAGAAGAGGCCCCCTGAGTTTAGCAGTGGTGATAAGAACTATAGGCTCCCATAAGGGAGCTCCCCTCACCAAGGCAGTGAATTGCTCGTGGCTGAGAAATCAGCCAGGGAAACTTGAACAATGCTTCACAGACCAGACAGTGCGTAAAATATAGGGCCTGTGAGCAATGCAGAAAGCTGGGGTCACACCTGCTGCCTTTGCCTTGTTTTTTTTAATGCTTTGCCTTACTAAAATGCATAAAATAAAAACTACAATATAGAATAAGGAACAGTATTATGTTCCTTATTCCAGAAATATCATGTTGGTTTGGTACCCTGTGCTGTGCCTTTTCCTCCTTTTTGGTGATCATATCTTACATTATAGGATTATCTTTAATATTTTAATGTTTCATCTCAAGTATAACTGTTGATTTCCTAATTCATGTTTTTCCCTGCTCCAGTGGTTCGCTGTGAGCGACCAAATATTGACAATGGAATTCTGTTGAGCAGTTACAGACCGCAGTACACCTACAAAGACACCGTCATGTTTGACTGTAACCTCCGCTACACCATGAATGGCAGCGCGACATCGACGTGCACAGAAAACAGCATTTGGGAGCCCCCGCTGCCAGTTTGTCAACAAAGTGAGTGCTGTGGAATGAGTCCTACTCTCTGTTTTCCAGAAACTTTGCTTCCGTTAAATTCCCACGATTTAAGGGTTAGTTTATGGAAGCAGTGGCTCCAAAATCTCATTTATTGGATTTTTGGAATGCCCCCTATTGCACAAAAGTGACTTTAGATTTCTTGTGTCCTGGCAGCCTTCTGGAGGAAAAATAGTGTTAGGAATTCATTACTTCAGGCCATATAGATTAAAACTGATGAGAGTTTCTTAATGGAATTCAAGGAGATAAAATTAATCTTTCTATATTTAATATTTTTAAATATTAAATGAACCAAGAGGACAGAGCTTCTAGTATGTACTAGAAATTATTTACGCTATTATGTTGAAATAACTTGGTCTAAAATTTTCTTAAGTCCTTAATTTTCTTTTTATTATTTCCAGGTAGCTGTGATGACCCTCCTGATATAGCTAATGCTGCCAAAAGACACATTATTGGCAGTTTATTTCCTGTTAAGACTGTAATCACATATGAGTGTAATGCGGGCCATGAGTACAGCCCTGGAGAAAACACATGGCACATCGAATGTCTGCCAGATTTTACATGGACCGAAGTTTCACATTCTTGTGAAAGTAAGTTTATAATCCTGTGACTTAACTATCCTTACAATTGGGCAAAACTATCACCAAATAAAGGAACTTTGCATAGTTTGCTGCTGTGCATACCATGGAGTTGAGGAAAGAGGCAAGAATGAATGTGAGGAACACTGAGTACACAGTTTAGTTCCTAGCAGATGCACAGAGACTGCTACCCAAGTTGACATGTTTCTGGTCATTGCTGGGACTCTTGAACTCCACATTTATTCCCTGTGTTAAAGGCTCCGTATTTTCTCTGCTTTACTTACCAGCTAGGCTTTCTAGTCCCTCTAATCTGTGGAAAAACAGTCACTGCCATGTCAGGGGCCCTTGGCTGCATCTGAGGTAAGCTCGTCATTCCAGAGGCTCTTGCAAACAGCCCAGCATGCAGCAGCGCCAGGGAGATGTCGGGGTGGACTTTGCTCTGACAGGTTTCAGCAGAGTTTCCGAGCAATCCTGCTGCTAGGGGAAAGATGGACATGGGGCCTCTTGCAGATGCCTGGAATAACGAGGCGTCTTAGATTTAGAAGGACAGAGAATGACTTATGGTCTGCCTGTATCCCTGCTTCAGGAAATTCAGGAATGTCTGGAAATGGCCTCTGTCTTACGAAGCATTCAATTCTCTCACGTCAAATGAATCTGTTTTCATCCAGGTGTCTTTGCCATGATTTCAGACTGCAGCTAATATTTGTTATTTCTCAGGGGTTCGTTGTCCAGCACCAGATGTCCAATATGGAAAGCACAGGCATGCATGGAGATATAAGGAAAATAATTACGAGTATGGAGACAGTGTTCGAATTACGTGCAATGATGGCTACGCTTTCAGAGATCACAGCAATGAAGTTGTGCTTCAGTGCACAACGAGTGGTGCGTGGGACCCTGAGGTACCCGAGTGTGTGCCAGGTGGGTAGAGTTGGAGAGGAACATTGACTTAGTGACTGCTTAATTTGGACCCCAAAGGTTGGGTTCACTCTGTACAGTGTAATTGCCCATTCCTTTTAGCAGAAAAATGCATGCAAAACTGATTCAATGTGTGAGTTTAGTGTAGGAGCAGAAGGTCCTTTAAAGTTACAAAAGAAGTGTTGAGACCTAGGATTGCACGTAGACAATATCCACCTTTTTGTCTGGGTCCAGCTGTTCTTGATAACCTTGTCCTCTATATGGGAAGTAACTCCACTGGAATTCTTTCCAAACTCACGAAATCCTTATCTTGTGTTTGTAGAGCTTCGTTGTCCAGAACCAGTCATTGATCATGGAAGAGCAGAGTATAAGAGCAGAGAGATCTACACCCCTCGGACCCAAGTGACGGTAACGTGCGATTCTGGCTACGTCCTCATAGGCGAGGCCTCCATCGAGTGCCAGGCTGGTGAGGGCTGGACTCCTCAGCTGCCTTTTTGTGAGAAAGGTATGTGTAGAGCTGAGAAGCACGCGGCTATTTAAAACCAGTAGCGAGCAGGCAACCTACCTTCAGCATCCACTTCTGGGAAGTGGAAAGGTCACTGGCTTATGGGCTTAAATTTATTATTTGTGTATCTTCTCCTGGAGCTGTAATCCAGGTCGGAGCTGTACAAGAGGTGAAAGCATTAAGCTGATTTAAGAGGCTATATTGGGTCCTGATTCTGCAAGTGCCTGGGCAGCAATTTAGTGTGAACTTGCCTAAGTTCAAACACAATGTTAATTGTGTGAATTGTGCTTCACCGATATCCACGACCCAACTCTGGTTCTCACCTGAATGATAAGCATGATTTTCATCCCCCCTCTCCCCTCTTCTCCGCTTTTCTTCCCTTCCTCTCTTTCCCTTTTTTTCCTTAGTCTGTGGCCCACCTCCCAAAATCCAGAGCGGGCAGCACTCTGACTTGAGAAAAGAGCACTTCCTCTATGGATCCAAAGTAACCTACAGCTGTGCAGAGGGTTTGTCCCTCGTCGGGGAGGCCTCCATTTACTGCACGTCCATCGATGGGGAGAACCTGACGTGGAGCGGACCTGCCCCAGAGTGCAAAGGTGATTCACTTCCCTCGTACAAGCTTGGATTCAAGCTCAGACCCATGGATTAATGTTTGGTCTTATCAGAGCAGCCTTTTTGGCTGCTCTGGTATGGCAGCTGCCTGCCCAAAGCTGCTGGATAATGATATAGCTCCTGTGTGGAGGCTCACAGGATGGGCAAGTGCTTCTTCAGGAGCTGTGATGAGGATCTCAGGGTGGGTTCTGCTGTTTGAATATAAAATTGACCTGGAAAGTGATGAGGAAGAGTTACCAATCCCACCTAATCTGGTGGTCTGCAGTCACCACTGTCCTCAAGCAAGGTTGGCAGCCAAAATCAACCTCTGTTCCCTCTCTCCTCAGTTGTTCGCTGTCCAAAGCCAGTGATTGCTCACGGAGGGATGACCCCACCACGGCACACGTTCCCCTACGGGGAGGTTGTGCTATTTTCCTGCGACAAGGGCTACATGCTGCACGGCAGCAACAAGAGTCATTGTGGGGATGACAGCGCCTGGCACCCACCCCTGCCAACCTGTCAGCCAGGTGGGTCCAAACCTGGGGCTGGTGGTCCCAGTTGGCTAGAGCAGGTCCAGGGGTGGCTGCTTTTTTGCATGACGAACAGTAAGGGGAATTCAGAGCGCTTTCTCCTCCTCTTCCTCTTCTAATTATATTACTGTATGCATTTTCCTCTCAGTTCAGTGCCACATACCAGTGCAAGATGACCTCGTGATTCGCACACACAGGACACAATATGAAGTGAATGAAACTCTAGCCTTCTCCTGCAGAAGTGCTGGCAGTAAATCAATACTTTCAACTACCTGCTCTGCTGATGGCAAGTGGGTGCCCTCACCCAAGTGTGTAAGTACCATCAGCCCAGGCTTTGTCTGTATCTCACCCCTTTTACAGTCTGGAGTAGCTGGAAAAATGGTCCAGCTTCTTAAATGTGTTTACATCATTACCATAGGCCTGGCACGGTTAAATAGGTTTAGTTATAATTAGTAAAATATAACTAGTAATTATAATTAATGGGTTTTCTTTTTTTAAGGAAACACCCATTCAGAAAGGCATATGTGAGGAGTTTCTTCAAACAAACCGAGTTCTGCAGTGTGGAGCTTCTCTGGAAAGAGTGAAAACTGTGCTGGAAATAAGGAAGTTGTATCTAGAGATCCAGAAACTCGAAAAGGAGCTAAACCTCAAAGCAAACAGCTAAATATTGCAACTGCTATCTTAACAGGCACATCTCCTTTGATGCATGTTGAATAGTCATAGTGGCTGAAGACTTTTAGTGTGTTTGTAATTCATAGTACATATGTAGCCAGAAAGAAATAACCAATCAGTCAAGATGCACATATTTAACTATAATTCCATCTAGCCCGTTGACATATTTGTGTAACAGTTTCATTGGTGTGAACAAACGTTTAATTGTCCTGCTATCTGTCACCTTAAGAGCAGGTAAAACGAAGAAATCATCAAAGTTTAGTTTTTAGCAGGAGCGCTGGGTTTTCTTCCCAAGCAGGACAGGGCTGTTCCTGGGGCTCCTGGCAGTTACACTTCCTTCATTTTTGTGTGGGTTCACTTGCATGAAGAGCAGTTATTGGAAATGAAACTGTAAAGAAAGAAGGGGCTAGATTATGTCCTTGCTGTCCAGTAAAGGGGAAGTCTTCTATTAACCTATGTCTTGTGACCAAACATACTTCAGTGCACAAATTATAATAAAAATGCAATGCTAGTAAGAGCTGTGTCCTGTTTTAAATAAGTCAGTCCTATTTGTAGTTAAGAGCGGGGCCTGTTTCAATAATCATTGCCTGATTAGACACTAATCAGGAGCAAGTTGCTTGGTCCTCAGGAAAGGGGCCGAGCGTTTCCCATCACGGCACCAGCCATGGCCACATCCGCCACGGGGCAGGAGGAAGGGCCTGGCTCCAGGCTGCTGCTTCTCTGGCCTGTCCCCAGCTTCCCACCGCTATTTCCCTTTTCTCTGGGTCTTGTGGCCGGCTTGTCGGCACTGCCGCGCTCACTTTGAGGAGAGGCCGTCGCCGCTGTCGCTGCCCTCCGACCAGGAGCGCTCCTGGCACCATGAAGATGTCTCCTTGGTGGAGCTGGCAGCTCCTGGGACTGCTGCCCCTGCTGCTGGAGCCAGCTGGGAGTATCAGTGAGTGTCACTCGTTTACTCCTTTTGCTCAAATACGTAATGATTAGGCTAGTAAAGCTCACAGGGTTTCTCCATGACTTCAGTTGCTGCTGAGTTCTCTGTCTGGCGTTGCTCTTTTGCACAGATAATCCAGCCTGGTGGCTGCTGCTAATTGTGCCTCTCTCCTCCTCAGCTCCCTCCCCAGGTACTTGCGAGGAGCCCCCCAAAATTCCCAATGCTTTCCAGAAGTCCTTCGTGGGGACGTTCATTCCCGCTGGGACCGTCGTTGAGTACAGCTGCCTGAGAGGCTACGAGCTCATCCCGGGAATGGCCTCGGGACGGGCCGTTTGCCTGCACAACTTCACTTGGTCTCAAGTTGAGGACTTCTGCCAGAGTAAGTCTGTGTGGTGGCCTCTGACGCGACTAACTTTGCCCGAGCTGAGAATTTGTTGCCTGGGTTGGAGGACATCCCTGTGGCCCATGGCACAAGATGGGCTTTGAGATAAAATGGAGTCATTTAGTTAATAGTTTTTGTCATCCCTTAATTAAGGGGGATCCAGTTAAGCATTTTAAGTGATATCAGGAGCAAAGTTGATGCTCAAGTGCTGAGGCAGCCTGTTGAAATCTGAAAGGGGGCTGGCAAGGTAGTTGCTATGCATCTGGAGAGCTTGCTTCTGTTCATCAGAAGTAGAGACTTGCTCACTAAGGACTGTAGGAAGAGGAGTAAATGGTGCTTTCTGCCTGGAAATTGTCACTTTCTCCAAACAAGCCCTTTTCAAAATACCCTCTTGTGCAAAATATTCCTGCCACCACCTTTGGCGTGAGGTGAGTCTGCTGCCCCCAGCTGTTAGCTCTACGTTTGACACTTCTTTTTATCACGACTTTTCTCAGAAGTTCGCTGCCGCAATCCAAACGTTACCAACGGAGTGCAGATCCCTGAGCCAAGGCCTGGAGAAGACACGTATGAATATGGGGACACGGTTTCCATCGAGTGCAACCCTGGCTACGACATCAGAGGTTGGAGCATCCAGAGCCCTGCGCTGGTGCGGTGCAGGGACGACGGGAGCTGGAATGCTGCCATTCCCAAATGTGAACCAGGTATGTGCTGGACAGAGGAGTCCTGTGCCTTGGTGACTGGCCACCCTTTCTCTAGAGCATAAGGAAATCCCAGGGCCACCCACCCTTAACTTAGTTCTCTCTCTGCTGTTGCAGTTTGTGAGCAGCCCCAGGATATTCTGCACGGGAGACACAACAGCTGGGCAAGGAAGAAGTTTTCTGTAGGGACGTCAGTGATGTACACGTGTGACAGAGGCTACATGGTTGTTGGAGAGCCTCTTATTTTTTGTCTAGCTGCAGATGGGGTACACGCAAGCTGGAATTCCTCTCCCCCTGAGTGTAAAGGTGAGTATCTCTGCAACCCACTAGAGCAACTGGTAGCAGGAATGGGTAGAAATAGCGTTGGATTGTCTGTGTGCAATGGAAACACTGCAGCTCTGAAGTCCTACTGATGATGGCTTCTCAAGCCCACTTTTTGGTCTCCGATTTCCCTGCCTTTGTTGCTACGTTTGTTAAATGGATTGGTTTACTCACCTGACAGACATGCAGCTACAGTTAGTCGCCAGGCCTGTGTTCATGAAAAGTCCTCTTTGGTGATTCACAGAGATTCAGTGTCCAGCCCCAGTTATCAAACATGGAAGACTGAAGTCTGCAGAGAACTTCACTTACGGGAGCACAGTCACGGTGGAATGCGATGCCGGCTACATCCCCACGGATGCCACCACCATTCAGTGCCAGGACAATGGCAGATGGCACCCCAGGGAGCCCACTTGTGTCCTAGGTACCCACAGATCTCTTCTCCTTTCTTTGCTCCTGTGTATGATTGCACATTTTATTGCACTGGCAGTAGCTGACGTGCTTTCTCTCAGTGCTGGATTGTATGTGGTGCCAAAAGGTGTTGGGGGGAACATGTGCAGTGTTTGCAGGGGAACTATTAGTGGATTTGGGTGGGTAGCACCATTAGCTGCACTACTGCAAGTCTGATGATGCCATTCCCCTTGCTGCTTCACCATGTCTGTGCAGCCCTGCAGAGCTCTCAGCAGTGAATTAGCCCAATTCCACCCTCAGCTTCTGAGTCAAAAGTCAGCCAAATGAGAGGAGGGAAATCTTCGAAGAGCAAATTGCTACAGGATGCATCTGGTGTGATGAGAAGTGTTGTAAGAACTTTCAATAGTTTCACTGCATCATCACATGGTGGATTTTTCGTCATCTTTTCCATTAGACTCAGGTCACTCCCTCATATTCCGCAGCAGCGCTGAGGGTCACCCCTCTCCACTGCTTCCTCCTGGGTCTCACATTCTTGCAGTTGCATGAGAGGGTTAGTCTGGGTGTCCGCAAAGGCAGGACTTCAACTTCATCCCCGTGAGTCTGTGAATTTGCAGCTGTTTGTCTTTTGCTTGGTACCCAGGTCGCTGCCCCTTCCCTCCTGCCATTGAGCACGCAGAGCAGAAACCCCACTGGAACTCGCTCGTGGGCAGCACTGTGACCTACTCCTGCAAATTCGGATATTCTTTGCTGCCAGGGGTGTCTCCACAAACTACTTGTCTTAAAAATTTCACCTGGTCCAGAATTCCAAAGCTTTGCCAGAGTAAGTATTATTTTCTTTGCTTTGCTAGGAAAGCATCAGTTTAATGGTGTAGAATAGCACATTAGATGTTTCCAAAAGACACACCAGTGCTGCTTTGCCAATAAGGACTTTATTTAGCAGCGTTTGCATTCTCGATAATAACAATTTTGCAGTCGAAAGGGCAGAATGACTGAAAAGAAATATCTGAAATTTGTGCTCATTGTGCTGTTTAAACAACGATGCATCCAGTAATGTATAGTCCCTCGCTCTGGTCTCCAGCTAGTCACAGGGTTCAGAGCATTTTGCTTTCCAAGGCAAACGCTTGCTATCATCTAATTGCAACATCTGCATGTGCCAGGTCTGGTTAGAGACATCTGACAGTGTTAATAAGCAACCTGGCACGTTCTCCTGGTTTACAAGGCACCACCGTGGAAAACATGACTAGTGTGAGTGTCTGTTATTGTGGCATAAACCATTTAAACTCCTTTTATGCTGCTGTTCCTCAGAGATTCAGTGTCCAAACCCAACTATTAACCATGGACAAGAGATCCTCGGGCGAGCTGTGTACGCCCATAGGGACGCTGCGGAATTCCGGTGTGATCCCGGCTACATGCTCCAAGGCACTCGGAGGATTCTCTGCACGGCTGATGGGACGTGGGAGCCCCCCGTTCCCTACTGCGACAGGGGTGAGTATGAACGGGTGAGCTTTGCCTGCACTGAGAATGGGCAGGTGATCTTAGAGTGCAGGCCAAAAACCTGCCAAGAATCAAAGACGACCTGGAAGGGAACCTGCCCAAGTGTAACCATCAGGAACTGGTTTCTGCTGTAACCCCTGTAGATTCCTGTGTGCTCAACTGAATGAGAAGATCTTAACTTTTCTTTTCCCCCGACTTTTCTCTTGTAGTTTGTGGCCCACCTCCAAAAATCCAGAGTGGGCAGTACTCCAGCTTGAACATGTGGAGATTCCCCTATGGATCCAAAGTAACCTACAGCTGTGCAGAGGGTTTGTCCCTCGTCGGGGAGGCCTCCATTTACTGCACGTCCATCGATGGGGAGAACCTGACGTGGAGCGGACCTGCCCCAGAGTGCAAAGGTGATTCACTTCCCTCGTATGAGCTCGGATTCAAGCTCAGACCTAGGGACAAGATTAGGTCCAAGTTACAGCAGGGGCATTTGCTGTATGGGGTACATATGGGTAGCTCCCATTTAGCAGGGGCTACCTGGAAGTCCTGATATCTGCTGCAGTCGTGGCAGCTCCAGATTGGAGGATGACCCATATGGAAATTGGAGACTCTGGTTCCTGTAGACTGAAAGTGGTCAGGAAGAGTTACCAATCCCTGACCCAATCCCACCTAGTCTGGTGGTCTGCAGTCACCACTGTCCTCAAGCAAGGTTGGCAGCCAAAATCAGCCTCTGTTCCCTCTCTCCTCAGTGGTTCGCTGTCCAAAGCCGGTGATTGCTCACGGAGGGATGACCCCACCACGGCACACATTCCCCTACAAGCAGGTCGTGGTGTTTTCCTGCGACAAGGGCTACGTGCTGCACGGCAGCAGCACAAGTCATTGTGGGGATGACAGCGCCTGGCACCCGCCCCTGCCAACCTGTCAGCCAGGTAGGCACCAGCAGTGACTTTATTGGCTCTCTTCATCACATTTCTCTTGCTGATTTACCTTCTGCTGTGTTTTCCTTTCAGTTCTGTGTCCAAAACCACAAGTGGAGAACGGCAAGTTGGTCGGTACCTGGAATGGGGAGTTGTGGTACGGAATAGATGCAACGCTTACCTTCGAATGCCTTCCTGGGCACCACTTCTCAGGTGATGGCAACGTGCCTTTGGCAGACTCCTGGACAGTCACGTGCTTACCCGATGGCACCTGGACACAGCTGCCCAAGTGTGTAAGTGTCCTAGTCTGGCCGAGCTTCTGTAAGGCAGAAATCTGCCTGATTTCTAATGTGCAAAAAGAAAAAAAGCATAAAAGCTTTTGCTTTTGCAAAAGCAAACCCACATTTTTTGCCTCTGGCTCATTTCAGCCACAGGGAACACAGACTGCATGAGGCAGCTGTATAGCTAACAGGGTAAAGCTCAGCCTTGGATCTATGCACATGTGGATCTCTATCCACTCTAGTACAATTATACATGTCTTTTTCCTGGTTTTGTTGTGTTTTATCTTTTAACAGAGAAACCGAAATGATGCTGCTATATGTGAAGAGGTTCGTGATATGAAAGCAGCTTTTGAATGCGGCATGCCTGTAGCAGAACTGAAAATGCTCCTGGAAATACGAAAACTGTTTCTGGAGATTCAGAAACTAATGCTTTCCATGAATGAGTGAGTCCTGTGGCACAGCCGATAACAAATCTCCTTTCCTGTGGATGCAGTTCCTATAGTCACAGTATATATCTATATAAGGGCTCTTAGTGACTTCTTAGTCTGTGTTCTTATGTGGATGCAGCCGGAGAAATATGAACCAGTTTATGCAAAATGACTTTTTGTCCTGCAAGCTACTACAGAGCTAGAGCAGAGAGGGGTTCTTTTCCTCCAAAGGTCCAGCTGCGTTCCCTGCTTAATAAACTTGCTGGTTGCCATTATGTTTCAGGAACCGTAGTAAGAAATTAAAATGAGCTTCTTTTTTCACTGAGCAAACCGTGTCAAGGCAGAAGAAACTGGACTGAAGAAGCGGTGTGAAGCCCAGCTGTGAGCTGGTTTCTGATGCAGCTTTGGTGGTTTATGCATGTGCCTCGCCCTCCTCTTATCATGCCCTTCTGAGCAAGATAACTGCGAGCTGAATTCAGCTTACCCTAACACTGATATGTTTTATCTACCCAGAAATAGGAATGAATTAACTATTTAGTTAAGTAGTTTTAGCTAGTGTGTTTTCTACTAATCCAGTTTAAGGGTAATTACATAGAAGCCTTGCATTGTAAAGGTCCGTAAAGCCTATCCTCTTATCCTTAGATGTGAAAGAGGCAACAGGTTTCTCTTGCAGCGCCTGGCACTTGGCAGATACCCACCCTGCGCTCGCCCCTTCCCGGTGTCTGCACGCGGAGGCCGAGAGCAGAGGCTGTAAGCTGAAGGGCAGCGAACGGCACCGCTCACGTTTTTCTTGCTGCCCGCTGAGCAGGCGCCTCCGTGCTGGAGCAGTGACTATTTCCAGGCCAGGGACAATAAAGACCGAGGTGCGATCGTGAGCGTCGCGGGGTTGTGTCGTGCCAGCTGCAAACCAAGAGGGGCTGCAGTGCGCCCAGGCGCTCGTTTGGGTTGAGAGGTGACGGCCTCGTGGGTGAGGGGACGTGGGTGCCCGTGTCCCTGCCTGCGGGGACCCTCCCCTGCTCTTTGTGCTGGTGATTTTGAGCAGGAAGTCTCGTGTCCCCGTGCGACACGAGCCAGAGGGGCCTGGGGGAGCTGCAAGCCGCTGCGCCCGCCCGGGGCTGCCCTTGGAGGGGACACTGCAGCGTGGTCAGGGTGCAGATGTGCTTCCTCACACCCATCCCTACCGATGAATCAGCCGCTTTGGGGAAAAACAGACCAAGGGGTGGCCCCTTTTCATTTTATTTAGGTCATGCTGGCCTCCAGAAGCTCTGGCTGCGCCGCCTGCTTGCCCTACTCGCCTCCCAAATCGCTGCTTTTGGGGCCAAAAACGCCTTGAGTCGCTGGCTGGGCCGTGTCCCCTCCAGGGGAGACCAGGGCCGCGGGCCAAGGCTGCGGCCGCGGCGGCTCCCCCCTCGCCCTGCCACGAGCTCATTGATTCCATGTGTGTTCCGGGAGGCTCCTGCCGCTCTGCGGAGTCGCTCCGGCCTCACGGACACCCCGGAGCCAGCAAGGAAGGGGCTGCGATGGAGCCACCGGAGCGGGGATGCCGGGGCCGGGGTGGGCCGGGGTCCCACCGCCCCGCGCTGCTGCTGGCGCTGCTGGGGCTCCTGCCGCTTCCCGCTGCCGCCGGTGAGTTCGGACGCGTGCGACGGAGACCGGAGCAGCCGGGGGAGCCTCCGGGCGCCTTCCTTGCTGCTCCCGGCGCTCTGCCCTGTGCGGGGGCAGCTCCCTGGCGCCCGAGGCGGCCGGGGGGAGGCAGGGAGCGCTGCCAGCACCCAAAGAGCTTCCCGCCCTGCAGGCGACTGCGGCCCTCCGCCCCCCATGCCGCACGCGGAGCCGTCCAGCACCCGCGGCAGCTTCCCCGTTGGCTCCAAGGTCACGTACAGGTGCCTGGCGGGCGCCCTGCGGCTGCCCGGGCGCGGGGACACCGTGGAGTGCCTGCCCGGGCCTCGCTGGTCGGAGCTGCCCGAGCCCTGCGCCCGTAAATACCCCCCTGTGCGCCCGGGAGCTGCCCCTGCGCCCCTCGCTTCGCTTCAGGCTTCTGCCCTGTGCGGGGGCTGCTCTGCACGGGCGCTCTCCCAGCTCCGAGCTGCTTCCTTTGGCTGCTGTTGGCGCTGACAGGAGCCAGGGGTGGCGTGGGGCGAGCTGGGAGGCTGCGGTGCTTGGTGGGCGCCGTGGGGGCACCGCGTGGCGCTTCCCTGCGACACCTCCCGCCGTCGGCACCGCTGCCAGGGCTGCGCTGGTGCCCGCAGGCAGCTGCGCCAGCCCCGCCAGGCTGCGCTCCGCGGCCCTCTCCGAGCAGGACCAGCAGAGGAACCTCTACCCCGTGGGCATCACGGTGAGCTACGCGTGCCGCGCCGGCTACGCCAACAGCACGGCGAGCGCTGCCACCAGCACCTGCCTCCCCGACCTCACGTGGTCCCCGGCGCCCGAGCCCTGCGCCAGTGAGTGTCACTGTCCTGCCCCAGCCCCGTCTGTCCCCAGGCCGCTGCCACGTGCAGAGGCGGCCGCTGCAGCCCAGCTCAGCAGCACACGTGTCCATTCCTGTTTCTGTGTTGGCCTCAATGGGTCGGCTTTGGTTTTCATGGTGGGGAGCACGTTCACTTCTGGATGCATCCTGGGCGCACACGAGCGCCCGTTTGCAGGGAGCTCAGAACGGAGCGAAAGCAGCATCTCGGTGAAACCCGCCTGTCACCGAGATGCGCCGGCTCCGCGCTGCCCGTCGCGGTGACCCCCCCGCTGTCCCGCAGGGAAGTCCTGCGGGCGCCCGGCAGCGCTGCCGGGGGGCCGGGTGCTGCCCGGCTCCGAGCTGCTCTTCGGCGCCAGGGCGCCCGTGCGCTGCGACGACGGGTGAGTCGGGGCTGCTCCCTGCAGCGCGACCCGCAGCGCGGGGACGCGGGCGCCGCCTCATCTCCGCTTGCGGGGCCCTTTGCGTCCCGTGGCACCGGGGATGTTTAGTACCCTCAAATTCTCTGCATTTGGGTAAGGGGGTTGCCGGAGGGAGATTTTGCTTGGGAAAAGTGCGTGCATGGGTTTGAAAGTGCTGCAACAGAAACTGCTCATGTTTGGGTGTTTCCAAGTTAGGAAAGAGAGGCACGGAAGGCGCTTTGCACCAGGCGAGGATGTGAGTCAGACTTTCTGCCTGCTGTTGCTCAGGGCACATGGCCATGGGAGGCTGTAACCTGGGAAATGTTGCTCACAAACCTGGGAGCAGCTTCCCCGGGAGCGGGTTCTGCCCTCCGTGCAGATGTTTCACCCGCAGCAGCTCTTTGCAGATGCTCCTTAGGGTGGTCCCTGGAGGGGTGACAGCGCGACCAGCCCCTCCGTGCCGCCAAGCCGAGATTCAGGGTGGAGGGAGAGCGTCGTTCGCTGCCGTCACTGCATGGAAACGATGAGTCCTTAGAAGAAAGTCAGTCAGAACCTGAAGAGAGGCCAGCACTTAAAATAGATTAAAAATTAATCCAGGCCTGAACACAGCGAAAGATCTCTCCCTGTTAGACAGCTCTGTCTGTGCATCCGCTTGCTGTAACCTGCCTTTTCTCGGCTGCTAATCGAAGGGGTGCCAGGGGAGAGCACGCTGTTCTCAGCTGGACACACGGCTCTTTCCCTGTGTGTTTTCCCCTAGGTACAGGCTACGCGGGAGGCCGTTCATCCAGTGCCAGCTTAAAGGAAGAGACGTCGAGTGGAGCAAACTTCCCACTTGCGAATGTACGGCTGCTCCGGCGCCGTCCCCCGCTCCGGGGATCCCTGCACGCCACGGGCTCCCGGTTGGGTTTCCCTGGCTCGTGGCCGTGGGCATGGTCAGAGAAACACCCATTTTGCTGCTGATTCTGTATTGCAGCAGCTCCATTTGGTTCCCACAAAATCCTGACTTAAGGTGATGAGTTTTCTTGGAATCGTGAAGCAGGGCATGGCAACCGGCCTGATTATTTTTGTAACATCCAGAATAAGGAGACCTGAGAACAGAAGCACTTCAGAAACCCAAGGCTGGCCTAAGAAATCGGCAGCGCAGCTGCTCAGAAAATTCTCTCACAGCTCAGAGAATTTTGCTCAATTCTCTCCAAAAACCTTAGGAAAACTGTTAAACATTTTGCATTTTGGTTATTAGTAGAGCTTTTAGAAATACTCATTCTGGCCTTCTTTCTCGCAGTGATTACCTGCTCCGCACCACCTCGGATTATCCATGGAAAGCACGATGGGGAAGGGGTAGAAAAATTTCCTTATAACTCCACGGTGACTTACAGCTGTGATTCCGGCTTCCAGCTCCGCGGAAACGTTTCCCTTCGTTGCACAAGCACAGATCAAATAAACGGGGTCTGGAGCGGAGCAGCGCCCGAATGTGCAGGTGCTTCTCACTTGTCTTAGTGTTTATTGCAAGTTTAGGGTTCAGGGTGTTCAAGTTAAACCCATTGTGGGTGCCCTGAACCAAGTGTAAGTCCTATTACAGTTTAGGAAAAGAAAAATGCATTGATATTGACTGGAGTATGGAATAAATCATCTGTAAAAGGATGATGTGGAGCTTTTAACATTTAGCTGTTGCCCTTATTCTTTTTTATCATAGAGAAAATACCTGGCAAGCTTGGATCAAAAGTAATGGAAAAGAGCCCTCCTCTCAAAGGTGGGTTGAAATGATTCTGTGTTGAATCAAGCTCCATGTTTCCTGATTTAATTAGCTGCTTTATCATCTCTCCATGAAAAAGACATTCAAAGAGTTGCAGGCCATGAATTGCATTCTTTTCAGACTCCTATGGCTCCAACAGCCAAGCATCTAAGAAGGCTTTCAAAAAGGAGATGAAACTCAACCTCTATAAAAAGTCCCTCCAAAGCAGCATCTCCTCCTCCTCCTCCTCCTCATTCTCCAAGGCACCAGGTCAGTCCTGCGGCCTCTCCTGAGACTGCCTGGTGTCCGGGGGAATCCTTGTGGATCTCGGTGTTTATTCCCGTCGCCCCAGCTGCAGATTTCTCGGTCTCACCTATTTCTCTCTAGCCTTAGGTAACTGCATTACCTCTGCGCTCAGATTTGTTGTACCTTTATACAAAAGCCCAAATTACTACTACCCGGGAAAGAGCCCCAGGTCTTTGTGTCCCCCGAAGTACATGGGAATTTCCAGCTCCCGATCCCAGGCCAATTGCTTTGGAAACCTGAAACAGTCCAAAGTTCCAGCGCTTTGTGCAAGTGAGTGATTTTTCCTTTCTTGATCAGGGCGCTTTCCAAGGGTTTCTTTGTGCAGTCTGCAAGTTTTTAATCTGCTGGATATCTGGTTCATAGATCAGGTTCAACTGTGTCTTAAAAATCTTTATTTTGCATTTTTTTTTATATTATTTACCCTTGTTTTATTTGGGACATGGCTTTACCCAGTTCTTACCATACTCAAAATCAAGTGATAATTTTATATAGCTGAAATAATTTTATATAGCGCTGGATTTTCTCTCCTTATCATGGCAGTACTAACTCGATGCTCACCCTGTCTGTGCCAGCAGAGTCCAAGGCAGCCGGGAGAAGCAGAGCGTGGTGGAAATGCTGCTACAGCAAATTTCCCATTCGGTGCAAAGGAAAGTTTTACACGTAAAACGGGTGAGTGTGATGGAAATAGGATCTGAGTGGGGATATAATTGGAAGTAAGGAAGTACAGCAAAATACTCACGGGAGGATGAGGTCTCTGGCATCAAAGAAAATAAACCAAACATTTTACATATATATAAGCACACACACACCCTTAGGCTTGCACTTAGGTAATTCTTTTACTAAATTTTACTTTCAGTGGAGGAGAGATCGGGTCTGTCTCGTGCACAAATAACATGTGTTTTTTAAATTGTAGTGTGTCTCAGAGTTCCATGAATCCTGGCTGGAAATCACCTGGGTGAGAGTTACCTCCCCCGGTCGCTTCTCCCACCTTTTCCCTCTTCCAGAGGTTCCCTTCAAGCCCTGCAGCGCCCCGACAGCTCCCTGATCCCTTCCAGGCCAGGGAGGACCCTGTCTCAGAAGCCTCTGGAGAGTTTCCAAGGGATCTCCATAAAGCTGCCTTCACTTTGGCCAGGAGTTCTCCTCGTCCCGGAGGCAGCCCACCCAGCTGCCATAGCAATGAGTATAAACACCCGGGCAGCCGGGTGTCTAAGCCAGGCCTGAGTCACTCCCTCGGCACGGCAGGAATTCCTCGCTGTCGTTGCAGATACATCTGTGCTTAACGTCAGCCGCCTTTTGCTGCAATCGGGACTGACTTATCTACCTTGCTCAACCCTGTTTCTTCTCTTGCAAAATTACGTCCTTGTTTCTCAGGAAACCATTGCGCTCCGCGTATTGAAACAGCTGCTGCAGGAGCTTTGCCTTTCGAGACCTGGAGCACTTTGCTTAGCAAAATCCTGGGTTGATTTTGTGTGCACCAGCTGCACAAAGAGAGGATCTTTCCAGCCTGCTCGGGGCTGTCGGACGATCACCAGCCCTGTGTGCCTTGTCTTTAGGTGACATTATGAGTTTTCCTTTGTGTTTAAAAATAAACAGTGGTTGTGACGTGCAGGGCAGCGCTCGCCCTTCGCGTTGCCCTGCGGGCTGTCCCCGCAGACCCTGTCCCGTGGTGGGGCTGGGGAGGGCACCTTGCAGCCCCGGCAGCAAAACATGCGGTTTTGGGGTCTGTGGACCCAAAACGCTGCGGTTTCGGGTCCAAGTAATGAGGAGCAGCGAGAGGCAGCAGGGAGCTCTAACACTGCAGCCTCTGCCACGTGCTCGGCCTGATTTCCTTCAGCCAAGGGCTGTTGCAGCGAGATAAAAGCAGGCAGCCCTGGCGCCCTTATCGGGGGCTCCGCGGCCAGCGGCGCCGGCCCAGGCTGCAGCAACGGGCCGGGTTCCTGCAAGGGGCCCGTGGAAACGCCGCAGAAAGGAGCTCGATGCTGCGAGATCTCTTTGCCAAAAGCTCCTTCCGTGGCTTGGTGTCTCCTGTCAGGTCTGCTGCTCTAATCCATCACAGTAAAATCATTCTGCAGTTACTACAATAAAAACATTAACTTGCTCGCTAGACCTAATCTCGTTGACGTTGCCAAGTTATCCCCAAAAATCCTCCTCTAGCTTGGCCCTTGTTGAAAAGGGACCTGGAATGCAGGATCCTGCACTGCTCCCCTGGCAGTAAAGGCTTTTTTACGTATACTTGGAGACAAACAGCAATATAATAAAGCGGTCTAAAGTAAAAAGGCAAGAAAGAAAATGAATAAAGTAGCTTTGGGCAGAGAAGCTCCGACACACTTGTTTCCTGGGCAGCTAAGGGCAAGAGGGGGAGGTGGTGGCAGGGCCAGGGACCCTCTGGGACTCGGCACCGACCCTGTCCGGGCTCCTGGACTTTCCCCGGGGGTCCCGGCGCGGATGCTGCTCCCGAGCCGCCCCGTGCGCCCGGAGCCGGCAGAGCCCAGCTCCTCCCCTCGTCCCCCTCAGTTTTCCCTTCCCTCTTTCCCTGTTTGCGCCGTGACAGCTTTGGCACGAGCCGCGTCCGCGCGGGCCGGGCCGGGGCAGGCGCAGGATGTCCCCGCGCCACCTCCCGCCGCTGCCAGCCCCGCGGGGATCCTCCCGCTGGAAAAGCCGCAACCGCGGCCGCGGAGGGAGGGCCGGGGGCCGGGCCGGGCCGGGCGGAGCCGCCGCCGCCCCGAGGCTGCTGCGCGGCGATGGGCGCCGGGCGCCGCCGGCCGCTCCCGGCCCCGCTGCTGCTGCCGCCGCTGCTGCTGCTGCTGCTGGTGCCGCCCGCGGCCCGCGGTGAGAGCGGGACGGGGGGCTGGGGGGGCCTGGGCACCCCGGGCTGTGTGCAGTGCAATGCAGTGCGGGGCATGCAGTGCATGGCGTGTGTGCAGTGCATGGCGTGTGTGCGGTGCATGGCGTGTGTGCGGTGCAGTGCGGAGCATGCCGTGCATGCAGTGTGGTGTGTGCCATGCAGTGAGGAGTGTGCAGTGCGTGCGGTGCACGCTGCGGCACGTGTTGCATTCGCGCCGTGCCCAGGTGCTCCGCAAAGGCCACACGTGCCCCACTGAGGCCCCGCTGAGCCCCCCGCTCTTTCTGCCGCCCCGCTGAGCCCCCATCTCGTTCCGCCGCCGGGCACTGCGGGCCGCTGCCCGCGCTGGCGCTCGCGGAGCTGCCGCGCGAGAGCCTGCAGCAGGGCAGCTTTGCCGTGGGCTCCAGGGTCACCTACAGCTGCCTGCAGGGCCTGGCCAAGCGGCCGGGGATGCCGGACACCACCGAGTGCCTCCCCACCGCCCAGTGGTCCCCGCTCCGCGAGTTCTGCGATCACGAGTACCTGGCAGAGCCAGGGTGAGGAGGCGAGCTGCTGTAGTGCTCTTCAAACCTGGGCCGTTTGCTCCGTTCTGAGCTGTCCTGCACCCCCTCACACTTAATTTTGCTGGGATGAAAGTGTAAATAAGAGCCCTTATCAGCCCAGACAATGCTCCTAGGCTGCTGGTATTTTGATTTTGATGTGAAACCCATTATTCAGGCTGCTTTGCTGTTGGACATGCACAACCACATATATTTACATTTACGTATAGTAGAGAGCACTGCTCTGTTATCTTTGCTTCACATCTGGTTGTCTTTATTGTTGTCAGGGGCCTGTTCCAGCCCAACACGTCTAAGCTTTGCTAAACTATCTGAAGAAGACGAAACCAAGAATTTTTATGCTGTCGGGGTCACTGTGAGCTACATCTGCCGCGCGGGCTATGAGAAAAGCAGCGAAGGGCTTCTCACCAGCACTTGTCTTGAAAATACAACGTGGACAGAAGTTCCTGAGTTGTGTCAAAGTGAGTGTCTCGGGTCACTTTTCAGTGACCATCCACGGCTGAGCTGTGGTTTGGATTTGTGTTTTAGGATGTTTTTTTCTAACAATGAATATGAATCATCATTTTTTTCGTATGATGAATATCATGAAATATCATGTGCTCTGAAGTCATCAGATATCTGCTTTGATGTAGCTGTAATCTCATGCAAAGTATTTCTGCTGTTTTCTCCCTTTCTTGTAATGTCGTCCTGAGATTGATCTTACTCTTTTTAGAGAAATCTTGTGGTGTTCCAGCACATCCAGAGCATGGCAAAGTGGTTGCCACCGATCACCTGTTTGGTGCAAGAGCAAGCGTGGTTTGTGATGAGGGGTGAGTATGAAGGCAACTGCTCGCGTTCATTCGTAGCTGAGTGCAGAACTGCTGGCCAGTGCTGGCACCTTAAAAACAGGAAAACAAACCTACCTGGGGAGTAAAATGCCACGGAGAGTGGTCACCAGGAGTCCAGAGCAGTGGAGGGGCTGCACTGGGAGAGGGAAGTCACAGGTCGAAGCTCTCATCCTGTTGTTCTTGCTACACCTCGATCATGGGTTCCCATCAGTTACGAAGGCAATTTCTGCTCTGCAGAGGAACAGAAAATGCTGCCATCAGTCTGTAGAAAATTTTAATGCAAATATGTGAGCAAAGTTTGTTTTGACATGTGGGAGGTTAAAATAACAACACTTGGTGCGAGACCTCATGGAAGAGGAAGGGAATATTTGCTTTAAGCAAACTCCGTTCCACAGATTTCCTGCGCTCGAAAGCACCAAGAGGTGGGTGCCCAGGTGGCCTGGCCACGTCACCCGAGCAGCCCAGGGACAGGGGACGTGGCCGGCCCATCCTTAGCGCCGTGCCTTTGCCCGCAGGTACCGGCTGGCCGCGCGCTCGCCGCTCGTCCACTGCCTGCTCCGCGGCGGCGGCGTCGCCTGGAGCCACGTGCCCGCGTGCCGGGGTAAGTGGGGCTGCTGCAAACCTTGCGTCCATAACTGAGAATTTGATGTTGGTTTTCACTCGGTTTTATGTGGATTTTACTTAATTAGGATAGGTCAGTGGTAAGGGAAAGGAGGCAGCTGATGCGGTGAAAATAAGGATTAGTCACTGGGGTGGCTGGCGCCTTTGCAATGGGCAAGCCTGGAATAAAGCAGCAGCCCAACAGCCCTGCTGTCCCCGCAGGCCATCTCCTGCCACCAACGCCGTGTCACAGCAGAGACCTCTAAAAATAACCGTGTGCAGGGAGCGTGGCCAGTGCTCGGGTTTCAGCCTGAGCTTCCGAGACACGGGGGCAACAGGAGCTCCCACCTCCAATGCTCCTGTGTTGCCCCTTTCAAAGCGTGGGGCAAATCCTTCTGGTGGGGTTGAACGAGCTCCTTCCTCTCCTCTCTCTCAGCCATTGCCTGTGCTCCTCCTCCGGCCATCCCCAACGGGACGCACAACGGCAGCAGCGTGCAGGAGTTTGGGTACCACTCGGCCGTCACTTACACGTGTGACCTTGGCTTCTACCTCACGGGGGATGACACTCTTCGCTGCACAGATGAGAAGAAGATGCACGGGGTGTGGAGCGGGTCCCCTCCTGCCTGCAGAGGTGAGGGATGCTGGAGCCCCCTGCATTGCAGAGCAGGTTTTCTTGCCAGCCCAAATTCGCACTTCTCGGAAGGGGAGACTACCCGCTGGGCAAGGATCCCAGGGCTGGGTTCCGGGAGGGCAATGGCTGCTTACAAGGAAGCTTATTAGAAAGTCTTGGTCTTTGAGGGACAACGATGTGCCATGTTCTGTTGAAGAGGGACCTGGCTACAATTTTGCCCAATTTTGTATTTTTTTTCCTTCAAGTCCTGTAAGTACCAGTGGAAAGGAAGCAGCTGGTGTGCTGCTGCCGCCTTTGCAATGGGCAGGCCTGGACTAAAACAGCAGCCCAGTGGCCTTGCTGTCCCTGCAGGCCGTTTCCTGCCACTGTCCCACGCGTCACAGCAGAGATCCCTAAGAACAACCACGTGCAGGGAGCGTGGCCAGTGCTCGGGTTTCAGCCTGAGCTGCTGAGACACGGGGCCAACAGGAGCCTCCTCTTCCAATGCTCCTGTGTTGCCCTGTTCAAGGCATGGGGCAAATCCTTCTGGTGGGGGTGAACGAGCTCCTTTTATCTCCTTTCTCTCCTTTTCTCCCCTCTCTCTCAGCCATTGCCTGTGCTCCTCCTCCGGCCATCCGCAACGGGACGCACAACGGCAGCAGCGTGCAGGAGTTTGGGTACCACTCGGCCGTCACTTACACGTGTGACTTCGGCCTCCATCTCGTTGGGGAGGAAACTCTTCGCTGCACAGTTGAAGACAAGATGCACGGGGTGTGGAGCGGGTCCCCTCCTGAATGCCGAGGTGAGGGACTTGTTTCCAAGGACAGCTACTTACAAGAAAACTTATTTAGAAGGTCTTGGGCTTGGAGGGAAGACAACATGTCAAGTTCTTTTGAACAACCCGTGTACAGTTGTGCACAATTTTGTATTTTTCCCTGCAAGGTGAACAGATAATTTCATTTAAAAGAATGTTTGAAAGATGTCACTAGCTGAAAGGTGCTGGGCTAAAGCTCAGGATGCTTTTATAGCTAGTGTCCAGCAACAAGTAGGGAGTAACTGCAGACACTGCCTACCTGTGATGCCACCAAGAGGTTCCTTCTTGCCTCTTTTACAGCTCCCATGTAAATCAGAGGTAAACTAGAGTGCCTAGATTAATGTCTGGGTTCTCTGTGATAGGATTGAGTAGTCAGAGTGGTCCCTGGATCTTATGAGTTTCTCTGGGATACTTGGCAGTGATCCGGGTGACAGTCTATAGCCTTGGCCTTTGCAAACGTGGACCTCTTCCCCAGTATGAGTTGTTTGGGACGACGTCCTTGGGCGCGTCTTGAGGAGCAGTCACAAGCCCTCCTTGGCCAACTGCTGGCGCCTTTCCAGATCCACAGGCCACCATTACCACAGATCAGATCATTATCCCTGCATTTACTCCTCAGTGGAATATTATATACTTTATATATACATGAGGAATTATATATACTTTAACCACTCTTTCTTTTAGCTTTTTCCGCTGTAGTTGAGACCATGGCAGTGACAGACCCACCTAAACTCTTAGAAGATGAAACAGCAGAGAATCGTCGCGTCTTCGGTGAGAGCTCAGGAAATTTTGGCTGCTATAATTTCACCTCGCCAGGCATCTGCAGTCCCATAGCGTGGAGCTGTCGGCCTCAGCTCTGCCGGTGGGGAAAGCTGGAGCGAGAAGAGCACAATCAGATGTTAGCAATTAATGGCAGATTGATTAACAATGTTTTATCTTCTCAGGAGTATTAAATGTGGGTTTGAATGATGTTGTTCTGTGAGCATAGATTAAGGAACACTCTTTGGTCTGTATTGTTATTTTTATTAGGTTATTGATTCTGTAATGGTTATTCCATATTCTTGATCTGGCACTGATTTGGCTCCATTATTTTAACTGTAATTTCTTTTTCTTCTCTAGTATTTATCCTTGTCCCTAGTTGCATTGGTAAGTTGTTCACATTTGAGAATATACTCTCCTAAGTCAAAGCTGGTATTGTAGTTTAATATCTGGGGTCACTATTGTGTTTTCTTCTTTTTAAAGATTCTGTTTTAAACTTTTATCTCCAGTTAGGATTTGGGTATTTCTCTATTAGCCAATGAGCAGCATTGTAGGCAACTGCAGATGTCTCAGTGGAAAACATGACATCACTTCAGGAAGAAATGAAAGTAGCCACACCAAATATTGTGCATCCTGCCTCTCTTTGATTGAGAAAGTTCCTTTAAAAGGGCTTGGTGAGTTTTGAAAGAGAGAGCTTAGTTAAGCTTGGGACATCCTTGCTGCAACGAAGAGTGAATATGAAAAATGAGTGTGTTAAAATACAAAGCAAACTGCAGGCTGCCTATAGAAGCATTAAATAAATGAGAACCACGCAGTTAAGAACATCAACATGAAAAACACACTTTAATAGTGATTTCCTGTGGTCTTTGCCCAGGGATGCAAGGGGGTTCTCTGCCTTATTTTGGCTGGAGGGAGGAAACCTCGTAGTGGTGCTGGCGCCCAGAGCAGTGAATTTTACTGTTAGTCTTTTATCAAACTGTTATATTTCACTAAATTGCTTACCAGATTTGCTGCTTGCCTCCCAAGGGATCTTCATCCTTCTACTGTGGGTGTTCATGAGGTGGAAGAGGAAGAAGCAGCAATGGTGAGTGAGCCGAAGCCACCCTTCACACCCCTTCAGTGATTCCCAGCATTTTGCTGGACAGAAATTTGCACCAGGTCTATGTTCGCATGGTCTAGGATCACCTCAGTGTTACACCTGGGTTTATTCTGTTTTCCCCCTTTCTCTCCCTCTCTGCAGTTCTTATGAAACAGGCTCCCCGAAGCGCGGAACGAAGGGCATGGATCTGCAGACAAGTCGGAGGGTCCCCGTGCCGCGGGATCTCCTTGCCTGGTGGGTCTGCAGAGCAGGGCGTTGGAAGCAGCTCCTGCTGCCCGCAGGGGACCTGCTGCTGAGGGTCCCTTGGTGCCTTGACTTGATGTGGCGCCTTGGAGACCTCGGGCAGGGGCTCTCTGATCGCATGGAAGGCAGCGCTCCTGGGCAGAGGTGGCACCCAGCAGGTCTCCTTCTGTGGTGTCTGCAGCCCCCACGGGAGCTGCCACGTGTGTCCGCGCTGCGAGGCCGGGCTGCACGCTCACCTGGATGGGCAGCCCTGCACCACGTGCAGGGCCTGGCTGCGCGCCCGCCTCGGCCCCGCTCCCACCTACTCGGCCCTGAGCATCGGCGATGCCGGGAGCGCCACCACGGCGGTCACAAGGTGCGGGCGCCCCGGGGAAACGGGCTCCTCCTGGCGAGTGGGATGTTCAGAGCAGATCCGTGTGGAATGGAGTGGGAAGGAGTCACCCTCATCCTGTTCAAGTGGGAATGTGAGGGAAGCTGCTGCAGCTCTGCAGCCGGGGCCGCTGTGCGTGCCAGCATGTGCGATGTGGGGTTGCAGGGGATGCTGCGTCTAACCAACCTCTCCATCCAGCTCTGCAGATAAAGCTCCAGCTCTGCCAAGCAGCAGCTCTGTGGAAGAAGGAACTGCAGGCGGGCATGAGGCAGAGCAGCCGGGGACCCCTGAGAGGTACCTCGTGGCGTCCCATGCAGGAGCGCGTGGGCAGGAACTCCAGCAGCCTCGGCGCGAGTAGCGCTGCACCTCGGGGTGTCGTGGGTGCGAGGCCTCGTGGGAGACTCTCGTGTCCCCCGTTATTTTACATGGCCTCGACGCTGCCTCTCCGCAGCGCTGACCACGCGTGTCCCACCTGCGAGGCCTGGAGGTCTGCCCACCTCGGCGGCCGCAGCGCCACGGTGCCGGCGGAGCCTCTGCGCGGGACACGAGCGGGGTGAGTCCAGTTGCTCTTTCCCTGGCACGAGCCGCGCTCCCGCACAGCCAGCCGCTTGCTTAGCACTGTAGCTCACAGTCAGATCCGCGACTAGCTGGATAACGCAGACGCTGCCGAGGTGCGACGCGGCGGCGCTGGCAGCGCTGAGCCCTCCTCCCCTCTTTTCCAGCGCCGCGGAGCCCGTGTGCCCGCGCTGCACCGACCGGCTGCACCTCGCGCTGGTGCACTCGGCGGCGCCGGGCGGCTACGTGTGCCCGCTGCCCCGCGCCGGGGCGGCCGCGCACCTGGTGCCGGCGCGCGGGCCACCGTGCCATGTGTGCCCACGGTGCCGCGCGCCCGTCCACGTGCACCTCTGCCAGGATGTCCCCACCGCTCGTCGCGGTGAGCGCCGGCCCTCGGGTGCCAGCGCCGCGCGCCCGCCCGGCGGGCACCTCCTCCCCACCACAGGGGCAGCGCCCTGATGGCTCCTGGCGGCACAAAACGGGGCGGAAAGCGCAGGGATTCAGCACTAACGCCCTGCCTTCCCGCTGGAGCTTTCGAGGCACCGTGAGCTCAGGCTCCACGGGCGGTGGGAAGCTCCTTGCAAAGAAGCCGGGGGCTCGAGCCGTGCTTCCAACCCAGCTCCCTACAGATTCGGGGCCTCAATTATTTCATGCTTTAGTAAGACCTGTTTTTGTAGTTCTTAAACTGTTTAAATTCAAGGAATGTTTCTATTGGGAAAATACTTTCATACTAGGCATCCTGTTTGCACAGATTTATGAGATTTACTGGTATTTTTTAAACCTTTTTTTTACTGATGTTTAGTAGCATGCCAATACCAGTGTAGAAATATACAGTATTTATAGTAAAGCTATTTTGTAAATAAAAGAGATACTAAATAAAGAATTCTAGTATCTTGAGGTCAGTGGTTTTGTGTGTTTGTTTTTTTCCCTATTCACTGATAAAACCTTTTATTTTAAGGCAGTAGAAATGCTCTAATGCTGTTCTCTGCCCTGGTTGTATCAGCAGCTGCTCCATATAAGCGGTGCCCTTTTGCCAAGTCTGTCCTTCTGCCAAGTCACCCGGCGCGGCCTTTCCTAGGAACTGGGAGGCAGTGCCAGGGTCCAGATGTTTTTCTGGGGAAAAGTTTCCATGTGGAGCTCCGCATCGGGGCCATGTGGCCTCCTCCGGGTGCCCCTTCCCCAGGTGACAACCTGTGGGCTCTCTGCGAGCAGCCAGGTTGTGGATCCAGCAGGGAGGAGCACGAGGTCCTGCCCAACCTGCGCTCCTGGTGGGTGTTTGGTCTCCTCTTTGCAGGAGACCAACCCCGTGGTGACAAGGCAGGAACCCCAGGGGTCCCTTGGTCACCCCAGGCAGGGAGGGGACACGGGGACCATCAACCCAAACCAGGGGGGGGCGGGGGGACCATCTAAGTGCCCAGGGTCTGCAGCACGTCCTGCCTGTCTCCACGGGCGGTATTTGGGGTTGCACTATATGACCTCTGAGGTCCCTTCCAACCTTAAGCATTCTGTGATTCTATGATTCTATGACCATTGCTGCAGATTTAACTAGTCTTCTTTTCTCCTGTACAAAAGGCAGAGGGAGAGGAGGCTGCAGCCCCCACGCAAGGAGCAGCGGGGGAGCAAGGAGGAGCTGCGCTGAGCAGAGCTCTGCCAGGAACAGAGGCCGCGGCGGCCCCCGCGCCTGCTGCTCTCGCGGGCACCTGGAGCAGGGAAGCGGCTGCGATCCGCGGGATGCGGAGGGCGGGAACATCCCGGCCTCCCCTTTGCTCGGCAGCGCAAGTGAGAGCGGGACGAGAGGCGGAAAAGGAGGAGACAGGTGCGCGGGGCCGCCCCGCGCGCGGCCCGGCCCCGTCCC